TCCCTATATGCATATAGTAAAAACTTAAAAAATCTTCTTTTAAAGAACTCAAAGAGCTAGAGCTAAGATATTTAGCATGAAACATGTTCTAATGGGTGTCTACCAAGTTTGTTCAAATAAAAGCCCTGGGGTCAAAATTGGCACCGCCCCGGGGGTCATTGATTTTCCTTATATTTGTATAGCAAAAACTTAAAAATTTTCTTTTAAAAAACCCAAATAGATAGAGTTTAGATATTAAGCATTAATCAGTAAGTGTCTACAATGATTGTTCAAATAAAAGCCCTGGGGTCAAAACTGGCCCCGCCTCAGGGGTGTCATTGTTTTTAACTATATGTGTATAGTAAAAACTTAAAAAATCTTCTTTTAAAAAACCCAGTGAGTTAGAGCTTAGATGGTTAGCATGAAACATCTTCTTATGGGTGTCTACCAAGTTTGTTCAAATAAAAGCCCTTGGGTTAAAATTGGTCCTGCCGGGGGGGGGGGAGGGCCAGGAGGACTATATACAGGTGAGCGACCTCAGGGCCATCATGGCCCTCTTGTTTATTATTATGTTTTCTTATAATAGGTGTCTGTCTTAGTTTTAAGTTTTTTTACTGTTTTCATTTTGTAAGCTAATTTTACTTTTTAAATTGCAGATTAAAATGATGCACTGATGAAAGTATTATGTTTAATGATAAATAAAATGAATTGTATGAATGTTCAGTATATGTGTTAATATATGTTAAAATTGTGATAACCATTTAATCATTTCTTTTACATGTTATATTTTCTTTGATTGATATGTGTTCTAATGTGTGTGTGTTTTCATTTTAGAAGGTCGCATTGTAAATAAGATGTTGCAATCTGTATATGTCTTAATGTGTTACCTTCGGTAAATAAAGATATTATTATTATGGCTGTTTGTTCGCGACAAAATCTGAACTTAAGCAACACAAGTTATTCCATGCCAAACCCATTCTTTGCCCTTCACCACCTTATTCACTAGACTCAACTGCTCTCTGATCTTTTATTTGAATAACAAAAGCTTTAACTACAAATCTGATAATAAGAATAAGAAAGGTCAGGGATCTATGCATTATGGCAATCTTCAATTGTGTAGAAATAAATATGTTCCTACACTACTTTTTAGTGTTGTTTAAATGCGGTGACATATCATTTTTTCACAAATGCTATCATGTTTTCTTTCTATGCAGTACAATGAATATTCTTGATAATCAAGTAAACAAGAATGATTTGGAGAATTTTATCCACGATTATGGTCAACCCTTTTCATCATCATCAACAACATCACCATCCTCCGAAAGTGCGCCAAATTGGCAGCCAGAAACAGTTACTCCGTGTTTAGTTTAAGGATGCTCCTTCCAAACTGATAAATACCATTTCTTCAAGAAAAACTGGGATAGTGTCCATGTACCCACTTAAACTCGATACACTTGTCCAATGACCTGTTGATCAAGGTTCTTCGGAACACAAAATACTAGAGGCTACTATTTTCAATAAAGAATTAACGAGACATTTGTCAATCCAGGTGCCGTTACACCATTCATACCCAACCATTTGCTTCGACGTATAATAACAGGAAACGTAACGTACAGTGGAAATGGCAGAATCAGACCCTTCATAAGTTACTTCCGGGGTTGATTGCAGGGACAAGGTGAATCGATTCCTTGACGATGGAACAACAACAGGAACAAAGTTTAAAAGATAAAAATGCAATATTTCAGTTGACATTTACAAAAGGAATTAATAAAGCAATTATTTTTAGCACGACTTTTTTTTGAAAAAAAAAGTAGAGGTATTGTTATAGTCGGGTCGGCGTTGCCGTTGCCGTTCCCGTCCGCAAACTTGTACCTGGATCATAACTTTTTTAGTCCCCTACCGGTTTAACCGGAGGGGACTTTAGGTTTATCCTCCGTCCGTCTGTCCGTCCGTCTGTCTGTCTGTCCGTCTGTCTGTCAGTCCGCACTCACAGGAGAGTAATTATGTGGCTAGAGGGACAATAGGTAACTGTTCTTTCTCTTTGATGTCATTCATTCCGTAATGCTTTTATGTGGCTATTTTATTTTGTGTGGCTAAAAAGAACAATAGAGAGAACAATAGAGTAGCCACATAATTACTGTCCTGTGAGAACGTCCGTCAGTCCGTCCGTCCACAAAACTGGATCCCGCGATAACGCAAAAAGTACTGAAAATATTTTTATGAAGCTTGATATATGGATAGATGGCAGTATGGAGATTATGCAAGTCTCTTTTTTTTCTTCCTATGTTGAAAATTCTGGTTGCTATGGCAACAAATAGTCTGAAAATATGGAAAATGTAATACATAAACTGGATCCAGAGATAACTCAAAAAGTACTGAAAATATTTTTATGAAACTTGAAATATTGGTAGATGGCAGTCTGGAAATTATGCACATCTTTTTTTTGTTCTTCCTATGTTGAAAATTCTGGTTGCTATGGCAACAAATAGCCTGAATTTCAAGATTTCTGATTTAAAATTTTCAGCTTTTTCACTATAAGTTCTTTATTTCTTAAGGTGTTTACTTCAAACTTTTAATATAAGTTTCTGGTCATCAACCACATCATATGTGACAAGGTTTACAACTCTAGCACAAAAATTATCAGTATTACCTCCCTTGAACTTAGAATTTTTATGAAAAAAAATGTTGTCTTTTTTAAATAACTTCTTTATTTCCTAATGTTTCTACTTCAAACTTCATATATATGTTTCTTATTATCACTCAACATTTTTGAGAAGGTTAAATACTCTAGCAAGACTATTTGACCCTTGAACTTAGATTTATTTCGAGAAATTGGTTTTTTTCACTCCAACTTCTTCATTCCTTAAATGATTTACTTTAAAATCCCACATCGTAATAATATGACAAGGTTGTAGTAACATAATTGCCTTACTAGGCATGGAAACTTAACACATTACAGTGATATAGACAAACTTAGAACTCAAAAGATTTAAGTTCATTCATGTCATTCATTCACTGGTAAAATTGAATGGCCAGTGGCCCATCAGAATGTTGCTGGGGTTCTAACCGGTAGGGGACTTATGGATTGCTTGCAATACTATGATAATTGCTTGCTATTTCTTGGTGTATTGTCTTCATACTTGGCCACAACAACCCTTGGGACAAGACCTTTCAGTAGGCCACACTAACCTTGACCTTCATCCATAAATGACCTAGACCTTGAAGGTTAAAAGTCTAAATTTTGCTTGTTCATGCTGTTATTGGCTGTAACTTTGTTATTTTTGAATGGATTGTCTTCAAACTTGAACATAATAATCTTTAAGGATATCCCTTAAAAATAACCCGACAGACCTTGATCGTTACTCATAAATGACCTTGACTTTGAAGGTCAAGTTATTGAAATTTTAATTTTTTTGGCTATAATTGGCTGTAACTTTGTTATTTTTGAATGGATTGTCTTCAAACTTGAACATAATTATCTTCAAGGATCACCCTTAAAAATAACCCGACAGTCCTTGACCTTCACTCATAAATGACCTTGACTTTGAAGGTCAAATTATTGAAATTTTCATGTTTTTGGCTATTATTGGCTGTAACTTTGTTATTTTTGAATGGATTGTCTTCAAACTTGAACATAATAATCTTCAAGGATCACCCTTAAAAATAACCCGACAGTCCTTGACCTTCACTCATAAATGACCTTGACTTTGAAGGTCAAATTATTGAAATTTTCATGTTTTTGGCTATTATTGGCTGTAACTTTGTTATTTTTGAATGGATTGTCTTCAAACTTGAACATAATAATCTTCAAGGATAACCCTTAAAAATAACCCGACAGACCTTGACCTTTACTCCTTAATGACCTTGACTTTGTTTTGGCTGTAACTGGCTGTAGCTTTGCTATTATTGAAGGGATCAACTTCATATTATAACAGAACATACTTAAGGACAAGACATTGTTGTTTATCGTGCATTCACCACGTGACTCCACCACGTGACTCCACCAAGTGACTGCCCCACGTGACACCACCACGTGACTCCACCACGTGACACCACCACGTGACTCCACCACGTGACACCACCACGTGACTCCACCACGTGACACCACCACATGCCTTCACCACGTGACTCCACCACGTGACACCACCACATGATTCCACCACGTGACACCACCACGTGACTACCATGTGACTTCGACACGTGACTTCACCACGTGACTCCACTACGTGTATGTATTTATAGAATTTTCTATTTATAGAATTGTGTGTTTCTATTTATAGAATTTTCTATTTATAGAATTGCGTGTCTCTATTTATATATATATAAATTAGTATACTTATATATAAAAAATATATAGACAAATCTAATGTGACAAAACAAAATGATTAATTTAATAAAAAGGAAACGTTAAGATTTTGTTCAAACATTTCTTTGTTTGCTTTTAGAGAAAGTAAAAAGTCGAGCGTTGCCCCCGCCCGGCGGTGGCTCTTGTGAAATTATAAAATGAGTTCATTGGCATGGAATGGTAATTCAAACAAATGAGTTTGTTTATCTAAAAGCTAATTTGTAATTATTCAATTTAATGAAATAATCACAAACATTTTATAATTCCTCACTAAATATCATTATCCAGATATTAATCATAATTAAAATCTTAGCGGAAAGGAAATCAAAATCAAAATATTAATACAGAGAGCTTCAATTCACACATACATTCTCTGTTTCTAGACATATATTTTAAGAAGTAACAAACACATTTATGTCTCTAGTGTAACCTAGCTACTGCACCTAAATACCTTATCAGTCTAAAGAAAACAATACAGATAATATTGAAGCTGAAAGCTTTTTACTTATCAGCGCCACAGGCTTGTGCCAGCCCTTATCTGATTTGTATCCTGATTTCGTTCTCTGATAAGAATCTTGGAATTAATCATCAAGCATGTCTACATGCAAGGATATGTGCTTGATTCTATTTTAAGAGTGTTTTTGATGTTTTTTGTAACTCCCTGTGAATTTTACTTTTGTCTTGCATTATAAATGTGGCTATGTTGAATTTAAATTAGCTTGGAAAGATTTGGTTCAGCCTTCTCCGCTTTGATTAATTAAGGTTCTTTGTTGAGCACCTTCTTGTGAATTCATGAAACTTTGGATTTAAAACAAGGAGATTGGTGGAAATTTGGCACAAGCGATACAAGATGAGGTTAAAAAGTTCAGTGATTAACTGACTGTTTTAAATGTAAGTTCATTTCAAGCTGTTTTTGGAATATTGAGGGCTTGCCCAGTATGAGAAATATTTATATATTAATTTCATTGTATACAGGTAAATGAGGTAAATAATTGCTTTATTTTTTACTTAGAGCATGGGGGTCATGAGGTACCTAACCCATAGCCTGCTCTCAACAATTACTTATCTTTCCATATTGACCTCGGTAGTTGCAAAGTTAGTATAACCTTCAACATGCTTGCGGCAACTGTGTCTACCAAAAGGACAAGTGCTGACCCAAGATCAGCCGGCAGATTTGTGCCATCTCATTATGGTCTACACTGTAAGCTATTCAGTCCGTACGTATTTTAAAATTTTCCCTAAAAATAATGAATAGTTTCTTCCAGATTGACAGAATGATGGAAAAGTCTGTTTAAGATATTAGGGCTGTTAAGGGGTTAGGTATTTGAGTGCTTAGGAGACATAAATGAAAGACATATGTGACCTGAGTACACTACCAGGTCACATCAGCACTTCTATGCTGTCGAACCAGACTGCCTGTTATTTTGATTATGTCCAAAACAGTTGAGCTGTTGAATTGATATCAAAATTCCTTATATTGACAATGCGCATTTCTAAATTCAAAGTATCCATTAGCCAGAATATATTATACAGATTAAGCAGGTGAATATTAAAAAGTAAACAAAAAATGGAAATATGACTTTACTGATAAGTCTCTTATATCAACAAACAGCAAAGGAACATTAGGTATGTCTTGAAATCCCAGGAAAGCAACAAATTGGAAAAATAAATGCACTGAAATCTGAAAAGAGCGTCAATGGACATTGTGTTAACCGAAATCCGTTTTCTTTATCAATGATAAGGAGAACACTGAAATTCCTTATAATCAACAAAGAAAATGGAAAAACATGTGCACTGAAATCTCCAAAATGAACAATGGAACAATGAGTTAAATAAATCTCTTTAAAGCAACATTGAAAAACTGATATCAGGAGTACACTGAAATCCTTGTATAACAATGGCAAATGGAAAAATGAGTACACTGAAATCCTTTGACTAACAATGGAAAAATGAAATAAGGAGTACACTGAAATCCTTGTATAACAATGGAAAATAGAAAAATGAGTATGCTGAAATCCTTTGAAAGTAACAATGAAAAACTGATATAAGAAGTACACTGAAATCCCTTATTATTATAGGGCAATGGGAAAGGAAATGAAATCCTTCATATCAACAATTGAACTTCCAAGCAAGAAGCAAGAGCATTTGAGACTTAAAAGACTATTAAAGACTATCAAATTAAAGACTATTTGAGTAGAGTGTAGGTTTAAGACATCAGTATAATTAAGTAGTTTGCGTTAACATGATTAACTGATAAAAGTGTTATTTTAAAAAGAACAAAGTTCAAAAAGGAGCATTAAAGATATTCAAAGAAATAGAACTAAGACTGTAGCAATGTGTTTGGCATTCTGTACTGATTAGAAGTGGGTATAAAATCAGTGTTTTATAATCTATAACCCACTATGATAAATGCCAGACTTCAAGGGATTCAAACAGCTGGTTAAGATCTTGTTTTGTTATTACCAGTGGAAGAAAAAAGCAGCAATAATACCTACATCATCATGCCATGGGGTTATTATCTTATTAAGTTGCTGTAGTGAATGTCCTTAGAAACATTTTAAATACTTTGATCTTGTGTCTGGGATCATAGTAAGCATTTAAATGTCATCTTCCTGACCTTTTTTGTTCCAAGAGTTGATTACTTAAATAATGTGTTGATAAAATGTTAAAGTGTCAGATTGTGTTCATGCAAACTGTTGGCCTATTAGTTAGAAACTTTACCAATTTTGTCCTCTTGTCATCTAACTTACCTGGTGTCCATTATCAGATATTTTTTGTCATTTTCATATTATGGTGCCACATACATGGAAAATGTTGTCTTATCAGATATTTGTTAACACATGGTAGTCTACTAGAATTGAGACTTTAAAGGGCAAATTTCTAAATAAGGAAATTGAATGTTGCTACAATAGGACGGCTATGCACACTGATGGCCTTGAGGTTATAAAACTTTTTTTCTGTGATCTTTCTTGGACCTCAGGATTTTCATTGGTCAGTGCATTACTCTGTAATGGTTTTTGACCTATCAAATGCTTAAGATCTGAGGTAAATGTACAGTTTCAACTATTCAAAGACTAAGAATAATGTCCAAGAATTACTTTAAATTTTCCATGTACAATTACATAGCTTTAACACTAGTCAGTGGTGATTTACAACCTTCCTTTCCTGGGGAAAACCTTAGTCAGAGTAGCGACAGAGTAGAGTGGTTTACTCGCCTAACGATCGCTAGCCTTATGGTTCAAAACCCTGTCAAGAGGCAAGTGATTGTTTTCTTGAGAAAGAAACTTTATACTCATTGCTCAGTACTGGTTGGTTCCAGGAACAGATTCAAAAGTGTGTCTATAAGCTTACAGCTTCCTACACAATCAAACTAAAATAAATTCTGTATAAACCAAAGGCCTCACCTTAAATGCACACTCAGAATGGTAAAATAAACCCCCAAGGTTTTGGCACCCAAACAAAACCATCACTTTGACCAGGCAGTGTAAAAAAATAGCAAAGATCAAGGTTATACCTACCCACTATTCCCCACATTCCCTCAAGATAGTGTTGTTGGATGGTTGGGTGGTTACATTTGACTTTTGTTTGTAAATTTGTCAGTGAATTAGTTTTGGAGAAAGAATGTCATTATCAGGATTGATTTTTGGCTGTCACTTGCTGTGATTCCAGCTAAGTGTGACATTTAACAAATGTCATTAGGTGACATTCAGTGCTGTCTGCATGTAATATACAAGGTAATTACTCCAGTAGTTAAACTTTCAAGAAGCCTCTGGTGTTAAAATCAATCAAGAGCATAAAAATGTAAAAATCACCTGGCAAATCATTCCTTTTACTGTAGGCAATTCACAAAAGTGTTACTGTAATGTTCTTCAGACTGTTTGAATTTTTAATTTATAGTTGAATGACTTTTGTATGCAAGTTAAATGCCATTCTTTTCCATTTTAAAAGTAACTTTAAGTAATTTAAATTGTTTTATAGTGGAATAGTTGATTTATCAGATATTTGCTTTTTTGCTGTATATGTGACAGCAGGCTTTATAACAGTATTAATAAAGCTTAATATATTCCTTTGCCTATATTCTATGATTCTTCAATGTTTCATAGAGTATTACTTGAAATACAAAGTAATAATTTTCTTACAATTTTAAGTGTTTATGCATAGTTACCATGACACATTTTGATATCATCTTAATATATTATAGCTGTTTTCAATAGAAATATTCTACCATCAAGCATTATAGTGTGCTGCAAGATAAGTCATACTTTTAATCTGTTGAATAATACTTATATCAGAGTACAGGCTGACTAGAGCCTTGCCTTGTATGTCTTTGTTCTCATTCATAGTAATTATTGGCTGTTCATTTTCTGTATTTTAATTTTGAAATCTCTTCAACTCAGAATGGACTGTTCCAAATTCAAAGCTGGGTAAAATCCATTATACAAATGTCAGCAGGTTAAAGGTAAAGATTCTGTGTGTGAAATTGAATAAGTTATTTGAATCTCAATTTATTCAAGACAGGTTCAAGTCTCTGTGTGATATAATGCTCAAAGGGTGACATGGGTTGTAAATTCTGTTTTGATGTCAAGCTAGAAGTAACCCTTCATATTGACCCCTGCAGTACCAACATTATTTTAATGAAATCGTCAGATACTCTGTAATTCAGTAAATGTGGGTTTTTTCCTATGTAATCCCTGGGTACCTGAGTAACAACTTGCTAAATATATCAAAAATAATGGCAAGGCATAGATCACTGTTATGAACAGTAGTGCACTGTGAAGCTATAATAGTAAAATTTTGTTTGTACCCCTGGATAAGATGGGTGTTAGCTAAGTTCCATATCTTTTGTTGGCTGCTTATACATATAATAGCACATAATAAAAAAATCTTGATTCTTTTGTTAATCAATGTACAATTCTAAATACTTGTGACATGTAACTCGGCATTTTTTTTTTCTTCAAAATAACCCTTTGATACAATGCAAACAAACTTTTACTATTTTAGCTTTAAGATGCACCACTGTTCACATTTTGAACTTGTTACTGGTTGAGTTTGTTTGTAGCAAAGGATATAAGCAAAGAAAAATAAATATATCTTATTCAAGAGTAAGTAATATTGAAGAAGGTCAAATCCATTACATAAATTCAGCAGAGAAAAAGGTTAATTAGTAAAATGCTGATTCAGCGGAAAAATCTAATTTACATCATTTGCTGATAGCTGCTCTTTAATCCATGCTTTATATAGAAAACATCTTCTGAAGTTTTAGAATATTTAGATTAAAACCGCGGACACTCGGTCACATTTAGTGTAATCACATCTAGGTATTGAATTAACAGTAGTTTATAATTAAGTTATAGAAAATCATAGAAAGAGATTGTATTGATTATAGATATTTGAGATATTTGACATTATGCTGCTAAACAAAACTGATTGAGAGCTCTTCACTGAAAGACTTCGCTCCTTATTAACAGAATATTATTGATAATGACGTATTTGTTGGATTATTATGGAGAAAAACAGAGATGTGATAAGATAATATTGATGTATTGTGTGCTGGAATTAAAAGGAGGAGATGCCTTTCTTGTAAAAGTACAGATGTCTTTGATAAGGGAACATTGTTGTAGTGCTGTAAGAGGAAGTTCAAATGATTAATAACCTTGTGTCTATTTAATTGCTTTATTAAGTGCAGATATTTATGATTAAACAAAGTTGTGTCTTAAGAAATAGTTCCATATTATCAATGTAAGTTTTTGTTTATTGATCATAAAGGCATTATATTACTTGGCATTATATGAGTTGCCAAATGACATACTGGATGGCATAATTGTAAATGATATGTTGTATTATCAGTGCAGTCTTAGAGTATTACTTACTGTTGTAGAAGGGGGTTCTAGAAAAATTCTTGGAGAGGGGTGATATAAAGATAAATATGTGTACATTAAGTGTTCAGCAGAGATTTTTTCAGTTATTTGTTAATTAAAAATGGTGATTACAAATTTTGATTGCATGAATGTTTTAGTTATTGTCAATTAATAATGGTGTTAAGATGATTTCATGTGAAAGTTGTTGCAATTGGGAACAATTTTGTTGATTTCTACTGAAACCAGGGACTTAATTACTAACGCTTGGTGTTTTTGTGTAAAATAAAAAAAATTAATGCCCTGAATCAGAATGGAATTATACCATTATTTTAAAGCTCATTTCCTTGTCAATGACAGATTGTTTGAAGTAATCTCACCTGACCTATCAGTTCCTTGTTAATCTGTGTGTGGTTCATATTTGCATTTAAATTAAAATTTTGTCACTCTTGCGTTATTTCAGATATTGAAGACGAATATCAATGTCATAGACAATAGTGTGAAAGTCAATTGATCAGAGTCAACCATGAGATTGAGACAACATTCCTTAGCAGTGGTAGTTGTGCTGGCAAGCATCTGTTTGATTCAGACTCATGCAAATAGTAAGTATTACATAATAAGCATTTTATTGATACAGAGGATTGAGAAATTTATGAGTTTTGTCTGATGTTTTAAATTACTAATGCCCCCAAAATGATATTTATTCTGGTTTAATAAAATGGGATGGATTTTATGACTTTGTGTAGAAAATGCATTGCTATGTGTATAATTTTCAAAATTATGTATATTTGAACTATTGTAGGTAAGACCATGTAAAATAAGTATTCAGGGCTAATACCATGGTTGAAAGTTCCTTAGAGTCAAACTAGTAACTATGATTGACGTTTTGATTTTGTATGAACTTTCATAAAAATAGCATTAAAAAATTTCTTTAGGAATAAATTATAACAAAACAAGAAGTCTTCCAGCTAGCATACGAAGGTTGGTTATTCTCTTGTGCCAGCTTATAATAATGCCTGATATAATGCAGAGAGTCCAACTGGACCTAATTCTATTGCCTTCTTTCCTCTTATTATTTCATATTTCATATTAAAACCCTTTAATAATTAGAACAGCGGTCAGGAGGGCAATTCCAACAAATCTTACCAATTTATGCTATTCATATAAAGCATACTTATCTTATTTATGGGAAGCAACTTTTCACCATTATTTATGACTTACTGAGATGTGAGAAAAAACTAGAGATGTGATATGTAATTGTCACTGTGTAACTATAACCTATGTGTTAGTAAATGATAAATTTTCCCCATTGGCACTGTCTGTAATTAGGAAATTATGATTGCTCAATTATATGTATTTCCCCTGCGGAACTAGTAAAAGAGAATTAGTGCTCTCAGAAATGACATTACACGTTGTGGGAAACACCATTAAATTAAGTGAACGCTTTCTTTCTGTTTTCTACAGCTTCTGATAAATAAGAGGTTGTAAGTATGAAATATGAATTTTGAATCATAAACTGATCAGGCAAAGTCATAAAATTGGACATGGCAAAATCATAAAAATTGACTGGAAAAATCATAAAAATTGAACAGGCAAAATCAAAAACTGAAAAAAAAGCAGAATCATAAAATTGAATAGGCATAATAAAAAGAATCTGAATAGGACAAACTCATATTATAAAACTAGGCAAAGTCATAAAATTCAATAGTCAAAATCATAAACTTGAGCATGGCTATATCATAAAATTGGAAACGAAAAAATCAAAAGATTGAATAGGTAAAATATAAAATTAAACAGGCAAAATCATAGAATTAAAAAGTCAGTCATAAAATAAAAGCGTAAAAATTATCAGGCAAAAATCAGAAGATAGACCCGGCTAAAATTGAACAGGCAAAATCAATTGAATAGTCAGTCATTAAATAAAATCATGAAAATTGAACAGGCAAAAATCATAAGATAAAACAGGCAAAATAATATAAAATTAATCAGGGCAAAATCATAAAATTAAACTGGGCAAAATCATAAAATTGAACTGGGCAAAATCATAGAATTGATCTAGGCAAAAAATGAAATTAAACAGGGCAAAATCATAAAATTGATCTGGGCAAAATCATAAAAATAAACAGGATATAGTTATAAATAGAACCAGACCAAGTATTTCTTGGAGTTTGGCCAGAGTCTTAACCAGTGGTATTGCACTGATTAAAAGAGTAAGAGGTTTGATTATTTAATCTGATCTTTCCATTGAAGTAATATGAACCGGAAAAGAGAATCTATTTGTTGATAAGAGAAGACAAATCATCAGAATTGATGGCAAATTTTATCTGCCTATTCATCACAGAAGTCATCATGTAAGAGAAAATAGAAAAATAGGGAAGGCAATTTTTATCATTTTTAAAACTACTCGAGGTGATTAATCCTAAGCCTGTTGGTGGCAAATGATTTTACCCATTTAAACTCAGTGCAGACCAAGATCAACTGACCACATCCTTTGATAATGGTCTGCACTGTTTGCTTGATTCTGCCAAGTGAATACATATTTTGATTTTTTTTCTGAACAATGATGAATGGTTTTGTTTAGATTTGAAGAATGACAAGTCTATTTGAGATATTAAGGAATTTTAATTGATGGAAAACAAAATTTGCCTTAGTCAGATACCAAATTTTAAGAACTTCCTTACAAATTTGTTTTGATGAAAGAATTTCTTTCACTTAATTTCCATCAATTTTGTCTGTACATCCATTAAGTAAACTATCAGATTTGAAGTTTCTTATATAAATAGATGTTCAAGGTTGTTTTTTTTTTTAATCCATTTACTTTATTTCTTCACATTAACTGTATAAATTTACCAGACCCTGATAGTTTCATCGCCAACAGAGAATTTATCAGAGGGAAGCAGTATACACAATATGTTTTCAGTTTGTACAAACTGTAAATGTTTGCTTATTTTTCCGATGTGATCTATCAGCCAGGCACTCCCCAGACTTCTAAACAATAACAGGTTTTTCGTTTCAAAACCTGACAGTGCTAATCTTGTTCAGATAAACTTTGAATTTTAGAAACTCTTTGAGCTTTGGATTTATGTAAAAAAGATGTTTGTGTTGATATGAGAATCAAAGGTGTTGAATGCTTAAAAGTTTGTAATGTGTTTAATTTCATTGGCCCTTATACATGTTAGGAAATATTGAAAGTGGTAGCGACTGGCTGAGTGGTTAACTCATCAGACTAACACTCTAAAGATTGCTGACAGGTGGGTTCAAACCTAAAAGTGTCATGGACAAGTCATTGTTTCCTTTATAGTCCTACCTCAAAATTTCCTATCTCTGGCCAGTGATTAGCATTTAATTATATTAGCATTGTTTGTCACCATACTGCTGATAGCAGCACCCTGGCATGTGTTATGATCCTATCATGTTTCAAGAATATATAGATACACTCTAGTGGCTTCAGTTTTGATCCAATGTTTTGGAAATTTGTAGAAAATGTTTTATTTTCTAGGTCAAGATGAATAAGGCCCTCCGGTCAAAAATAGGTCACAAAGGGGAAAATATTGAAAATCTATGGGTGCAGTTTGATCCAAATATCTTTGGAAAATTGGTCTGCAAGTTTGTTTGATGATTTCTATGTCAAGTTTTAATATGGGTCAGCTGGGTCAAAAACTAGGTCACACTGCACAAATATGGAAAAACCTTGTTAACACTCTAATGGTCACATTTTTGACTCAATTGTCATCAAACTTGGTCAAGATGCTTGTCTAAGACATTGCTCAGATGAGGTTGATGGGTCAGGGGAGCGATCTAGGGCCATCTTGGCCCTCTTGTTTGAGGTTCAATTGCAACTTAATGGTTTAATTTCACTTCAGGAAAAACATATCATTCATGTAAAAGTGGCTTTAAAGTTCAACTGAATAAAAAAAAACCCAACAACTTGTTAGTAATTTTGTTTAATAAAAGCTGAGGATCAAAACTGAGATTTCTTGATTTGTAGTAGACAGACAGTTTTTACGACTTCAACACCTACCTCCACTTCCTCCAGTGTGTTCTGTATGTACAGAATGTTTTGTTCTGTCATTATATTATTAAAAGTGGTTGTTTTTTTTCTGCCACCTAACATTTTAAATCAGATTATTTGTATTTAAATAAGTCATTTGTTGGAGTATTTCTCTCCAAATGAAGTTTTACACCTCCAGTGGCTTTGCCAATAATTGCAAAGATTGTTGGGCTTGTCATTAAAAAAAGTGAGCATCATTTGCCTATAGACTTCTTTAATTAGAGTTCTGAAACTAATTTAGCAACAGTAAAGAAAAAATTAACTTTTCACATGAAAGGATTTTTTCCCCTGAAATAAAAGTGATTAAGTTTTAATGTGACTTTGATTTAACTGATTTCCTGAGCTCAGTCCTAGACATGCATGATCTTTGGGATTGTCATATAATGAACAAAGAGACTTTAATTGGAATTTAAAGCTCATTTATTATTCTACTACTACTACTGGACCACAGGGTTTAATTCAATTTCAATGAACATTATGATCTTATCAGATGACCCATCACTTATAGAGCAAGTGCAAAATGCCACAATGGCTTATTTATAGGCAAAGGGTAACTGAGGGGTAACCAAATAAGCATTAATTTGCAATATAAATTGTTTTAACATGAGCATGTTAAAAATCCTAACGACAAATAGCTGACTTTTTAGTGTCAAGTTAGGAATACAAGGTGATGTATTTCTTTGAATAATTAAAAATTAATAAATTGAAAAATAGTAGCATCTGCTAGTTAATCCAGGTTGTGACCATTGATTGTTATGAGTTTTTTTTATCTGCTTTTCAGGCATTTTGTACTGCCACCTTGCATACCTTATGTTATGAACTTACATTCTTACATTGAATTTATTGTTTTATGAGAAACTGCTTTATTTGTCATTGCAATTTGTTACGTGATCAAACTTTCCACCTAACATTTAGAAATGAGGTATTTAGCATGGGACCGCCATGGGGTTAGGAGAAAGGAAAAAAGAATAATGTGACAAGTTAAACTGTAGGTTGTAACAGGAATTATACAGTTGCAGTCATGGTGCCTAATTGCTTAAACTTCCCAGGCCTGGAAGCATCCAGTAAGTTTTTGCCTACTTTAACATGTTTAAGGTGTTAATGTAAATTGAACTTTCCCATGCAGTTATAAAAGAAAAAAATATAATTAAGTCTTGAATACAGATCTGTTTTTCAACAAAATGATATATATGTATTATATTGTATAAGGCTTGGCATTATCTAAATATCATATTCCTTTGATGTTTTTTTCCCCCAAAACATATTTCAATGTGCTATTTTAAGTGTCTTTGATGTAGGTATGGAGAGCATAACATAAAATTTGTTGTCCCGTAGCAACATGCCATGTCTCAGCATTGGGTTTAAAAATTATGAAAGGATTATGTTTTTAACTGTACCACTAATCTGACATGTTAATCCTTCATATGTTTTTTTTAAAGCTTTAAACTTGGAACAGTTCCTTCAATATTTAAAAAGATATTTTTTCATATCATTAAATGGCAAAAAATGAGCTACCAATGGTACAAAGCCTGGTCAGACTACACAAAAGTTTTCATTGGTTAGTGTATATTCTATTCAGGTGTCTGACTTAGACTAATAAGATATCTGAGATCTAAACTTTGAGCTGAGAAACTTCTTCATACCTTGTACTCCGGACTTTCATATGTTTAATATAAAATCATTTGACCTAACATTTGAAAAAAAAATCTATCAATTTTAATTTGATTTTGCTCAAACAAGGGATATTTTAATATCAAAATGAATTTTAAAACTTAAATTAAAATTTTATATTAATTTTAAGTATAAACACTTAAATTTTGATCCCTTGAGAAAAAACATTGTCATATTTAGACTACAAAATTTGCTAAGCCTGTCTATTAAGAATGAGAAACAGATGAAAATTATGGCAATTTGTTGTAAACTCATTAATATTCATGAAGTATAAATATTCAATCATGTTCTGAATTTTTGTAATCTCAGCATTGAAATTAGTTCATTTAAATGAGGCACCACGCCATTGTGTCAGGTTTGTGTTAAACAAGTCAACATTCTCAAAATTAAGACAATACAAAATGACAACGGCAACTTTTTGATTGCTGTGTAAACAAAGTGAAGAAGTTTTCATGACTTTGACACCAACATGTAAAGGATTATGGTGGAAATTTTCTGTTATATAGCATACAGTTATTAGCATAAAGTTTAAGCTATTTAATAAAACAAAAGGTACATGTAAGTTAAAGTTTGAATTAAAAAAAAAAGAAGGTAAAACATCAAGAAAGTTTCCTATGATTATCTTCAGTATCAGTTTGTTTGAAGTAATACCATTTTTTTACAGGATTTGAATTCCTCCAATGTTAAATCCCCTGAAATTACAGGCTTTTTCATAGGTGAACATTTTTCAGTACAGTATTATATTAACATTTATCTTTTATCTTCAGAAAAACCGGAATGGAAGGAGGGAGCTGGTGCATTAACTGGCAGTCCTTTTATCAGTCAGATAGAAGGTACCGAAGTTAAATTATCATGTCCGGCTAAAGGTCGACCTAAACCGGAGCTGATCTGGTACAAAGATGATTCAGCCTTCTTCCCGAGAACAGATAAAGTAAGTATTTACTGTTTGTCCTTTATGCTGCTGGCAGCAACTAATTTTAACCGTAAAACCAGTGCAGACCAAGATCAGTTGGCACATCTTAACCATCTGATTATAGTCTGCACTGCAAGTTATTAAGTCAGTACTTATTTTGAAAACTTCCCTGAAAATGATGAAAAGGTTTTGTCCAGATTGAAAAATGGACAAGATGATATAAGATATTAAGCATGGTAATTGTAACATGATGGGCAGTCTATATATATATATATATATATATATATATATATATATATATATATATATATATATATATATATATATATATATATATATATATATATATATATATATATATATATATATATATATGATGTCTATTAGCACCTTTAAAGAGCAAGACCTTGCATATATGTTCAGTAGGATCTGATCCCCAAACTGCTGGCTGTGTTGTCTTAAATTTACAACATTTTAAGTCCAAGCATGATAACTCCTGTACATAAATATTGCCAAGTGGAATATTTACAACTGTCATTACTTGTTGGATTGTCCCCTAGTCTTGTTCCTGACTAGTATGATTTGATTTTAAATCAAGAATATACTTGGCTGAGTGGCTAAGGTTGTTGACTTCAAATCACTTGCCTGTCACTGGGTTCAAATCCTGCTAAGGTCTTCGAATTTCCTTATTTTGGGAGTACATTCAGCTATCTTACAGAAGGTGGATGGTTCAACTTGTATCCTGGCTTGTGCCCGGAATAACACAGACAATGGTACCTGAGGTCTTCTACCACCAGAGAGTGGAAGCTTTATGTGATATGGTCATTAAGTTTGGAGAGCAGCTCTATGAAGTTAAAGCATAATGCTCTGACTAAGTACAAGTAGGCATGGTTCCTACTACAAATGAAAAAAATGACTATTTAAAATGATTCATACTGTTATAAAGTCTTTTACAAACACCACTTGAGAAAATGTATATCTTATACAAATTACCTGCTCAGTTTTCATGATCTCCTAGAGAAGATAGTGCCTCCTCATCCATCATTGAGTCTGAGTTTACTGTATTTATTATCTATTTACTCTGAGACCTGAAAACAGGTTCCTACATTCATCAAGGCTCATCATCAAGAATCATACCTCTCTCTCTCTCATATATTTCTGGTTTATGCTTTAATTACCCCGCTTAATGTACCAACATATGCTCAAGATCAGAACAAAACTGTTCCATCTTCATCACAGTTCCTTGAGATATATAATACAGTGTTGCCTGAGTCTCACCAAGATAGTTTTTGTTTAATTTCATTTACTGTATTCATTAATCAGGAATGTTGCTAGTTTTATATAAAACACACACACAGATACTGTATCAAAAAAGAAATATTCATATCTGTGGTGCATGTTTATCTAGTCTCACATAAATTGATGTTTTTGCTTGAGATTAGTGCCATATTTACCTTCATTACCATATTGTCTCAAATAAATGCTCCCTTCTAATGGATTTGACCTGTTTTGAATTAGTAACTATCCATTTATGATTGAAGGGAATTCAATAAAGGTATATTAAAGTTCTGAGGCTGACTGAGTCTGTTTAGACCACACAGAGGACAGTGTCAGCCTGGCTTAGCTAATAATGTCTCTAGTAATTGAAGAGTATTTTTGTACACTGACAAAAAGTTCTTGTATCAGACTCCATGGATATTTATAATAAGATTGCCTTTGTGGATAGAATTTTTAGCTCACCTGTCACAAAGTGACAGGGTGAGCTTTTGTGATCGCTTTTCGTCCGGCGTCCGGCGTCCGTCCGGCGTCCGTAAACTTTTACTTTAAATGACATCTCCTCATAAACCACAAGGCCAATTTCATCCAAACTTCACAGGAATGTTCCTTTGGTGGTCACCTTTAAATTTTTTTCAAAGAATTTAATTTCCATGCAGAATTCTGATTGCCATGGAAACTGAAAGAAATTATTTTAAAATATCTTCTTTAAAAAAACTTAAATAGCTAGAGCTTGGATATTTGGCATGAAACATCTTCTAGTGAGTGTCTACCAAGTTTGTTCAAATAAAAGCCCTGGGGTCAAAATTGGCCCCGCCCCGGGGGGTCATTGATTTTCCCTATATGCATATAGTGAAAACTTAAAAAATCTTCTTTTAAAGAACTCAAAGAGCTATGGCTAAGATATTGAGCATCAAACATGTTCTAATAGGTGTCTATCAAGTTTGTTCAAAGAAAAGCCCTGGGGTCAAAATTGGCCCCGCCCCAGGGGGTCATTGATTTTCCCTATATGCATATAGTAAAAACTTAAAAAATCTTCTTTTAAAGAACCAAAAGAGTTAGAGCTAAGATATTTAGCATGAAACATGTTCTAATAAGTGTCTACCAAGTTTGTTCAAATAAAAGCCCTGGGGTCAAAATTGACCCCGCCCAGGGGGGTCATTGATTTTTCCCTATATATGCATATAGTAAAAACTTAAAAATCTTCTTTTAAAGAACTCAAAGAGCTATGGTTAAGATATTTAGCATTAAACATGTTCTAATAGGTGTCTACCAAGTTTGTTCAAATAAAAGCCCTGGGGTCAAAATTGGCCCCGCCCCGGGGGTCATTGATTTTCCTTATATGTGTATAGCAAAAACTTAAAAAATCTTTTTTGAAAAAACCCAAATAGTTAGAGTTAAGATATTAAGCATGAAACATCTTTTAGTGAGTGTCTACAAAGTTTGTTCAAATAAAAGACCTGGGGTCAAAATTGGCCCTGCCCCGGGGTCATTGATTTTCCTTATATGTGTATAGCAAAAACTTAAAATCTTCTTTGAAAAAACCCAAATAGCTAGAGTTTAGATATTAAGCATGAAACATATTCTAGTAAGTGTCTACAAAGTTTGTTCAAATAAAAACCCTGGGGTCATAACTGGCCCGGCCCCAGGCGTGTCATTGTTTTTAACTATATGTGTATAGTAAAAACTTTAAAAAAATCTTCTTTTAAATAGCCCAATGAGCTAGAGCTTAGATGTTTAGCATGAAACATTTTCTTATGGGTGTCTACCAAGTTTGTGCAAATAAAAGCCCTGGGGGTTGGGGCGGCCTATATACAGGTGAGCGACCTCAGGGCCATCATGGCCCTCTTGTTCAATTTTCAGCTTTTTTCAGCTTGTATCATTATATTTATGAATTTATTTAAACTTATACAGCTCAATTTAGGATAATAATACAGTGACAGGCTGGTCAAGTCCACTTTTATAGTGTAAAACTGTTATTATCTTGTACAAGTTATCACTAGTCAAGCAGTTTAGTGATATATCTAAAGTAAGCTTACTAATAATGAAAAAAATATACCAAATTTCAGTAATGATGTTATGTGTTTAATTTCTAGTTAAGATGTAACATTCAAAACTGTATATTTTTTTCACAAAATTGAAATCATTTACCATTTATGTGCAAATTTTTGTGTACACATATGAAACGTCATTCTCACATTATCATAGACAAACAGTACTTATTTTACTGAAATATTGTACATTCTCAATAACAAGGTTAATGTTTTGACAAATTTTAGCTTGTAACCTAGCAGCATTATGTTTGCAGATATTACGGTAGTGATATGATCATACTCACATTTGTTGTTTTTTGCTTGTTATTTGTGACTGCATGTGAGAAATAACAGGGTTTTTTTTTTACTTATCAAAATTCTACAAAAAAGTAAAATTTTAGTAAAACAAAATTGAGTGTTAGTTATTTAAACAAGAAAGTGCAGAACAGACTGATATATGATAAGTTTCTAGTGTTAATAAAAGCCATCATTTAAGAAGTATTTTTAGATGTTTTCACATTAAGGACTTGACTATGCCTAAGACACCACATTAAAGCCACCCAGGTCATCTTGCACACTTCTAGGTCATTTTGCATCTTCTTGCGATGTTATGTTTCAATCCACAATTCAGATCTCTACTGGTGATACACGTTGGACTAATAATCTAAGAATTGCAGGGATCAACCCTTGTTTGAGGCAAGCTGCTGTTTCCATGAGCAAGAAACTTTACACTCATTGCTTACAGGCAGTATTGGTTGGTTCCAGGAATGGATTCAAAAGTGTTTCAATAAGCTTATAGCTTCCTACACAATTAGAATAAAACAGATTCATTTAAACTACATGTAATACACAAATTGTCCTTGGTTTGGTGCCTGCAGCTGTGCAGCTTTACAATAGATGTTATCCGGAACTTGGCAAATTTAATGTTGGTTTTCTCCATCTTATCCTGTGTTACAAAGTTACAACATGGTAAATATATTGATAATAAGCGTTACCTATTGATCACTGGATATTAAATGGTAGTCCACCATGAAGCAAAAAGGTTAAAATCTGTTATTTACTGAGTTCCAGATGACATCTATTTGTAGAAAGGTGCAGATTCTTATTCTGTATCAAAACATCATTAAGTCCCATAGTAGTAAGCAATAGGGTAAATTGATGCCACATTTTGTTTATCTATTTCTTAAGTACAGTATTCTCCAGTAATGGAGGTGAAGAATTAGAGTTGTCCAAATCACTTTGTATATCTTGAACTCTCTAGAAATGAAGGGTAAAAAACAAGTGGAGCAAGAAAAGAACACTCTAAACTCTCTAGAAATGAAGGAAAGAAAGCAAGTGGTGCACAAAATTCTTCTCAAGTGCCATGATTATGATTAAAAGGGGAAAACAAATTTTTGGCTCAGATTAATCTATTAAAAACTACTTACTTTTAATGAGGTCACACGTCTTGCCTTTGGCATGAAAATAATTTAGGAAAATTATTACCAGAGAAAAAAAATGGATATTAAAATTTGTTAGGTTTTTGTTGAGGAGAAACATAATGATGTAAGACTGCTGGAGATTACCTAACAGAAAGTTGTTATGTTGTTCTACTCTAGCTGTGCTATCACAGTCAATTTAAAATAGTTTTCTTTTTGGCCAAAGATAAAGCTAAAGAGTATTCTTTGCCCTCATATATCTCTATTTTTGCCCTCATATACCTATATCTTTGCCCTCATATATCTATATTTTGCCCTCATATACCTATATCTTTGCCAGCATATATCTATATCTTGCCCTCATATAGCTATATCTTTGCCAGCATATATCTATATCTTGCCCTATATATCTATATATTTGCCCTCATATATCTTTATCTTTGCCCTCATATACCTATATCTTTGCCCTCATATATCTATATCTTTGCCCTCATGTACCCATATCTTTGCCAGCATATATCTATATCTTTGCCCTCACATATCTATATCTTTGCCCTCATGTACCTATATCTTTTGCTCTCATATGTCTATATTTTTGCCCTCATATATCTATATCTTTGCCCTCATATATCTATATCTTTGCCCTCATGTACCTATATCTTTGCCCTCATATATCTATATCTTTGCCAGCATATATCTATATCTTTGCCCTCATGTACCTAAATCTTTAGCATATATCTATATCTTTGCCAGCATATATCTATATCTTTGCCCTCATATATCTATATCTTTGCCAGCATATATCTATATCTTTGCCCTCATATATCTATATCTTTGCCCTCATAATTTATGCCTATATCTTTGCCCTCATAAATCTATAGTTTTGTCCTCATATATCAATAGCTTTCTCCTCTGTCGTGATATATAATAACAATATGATAAGGGTTCATTTAGTCTAGTTCTATTTTTTGATGACTCAGCAAGTTTAATTCTCTACCATTTTATGTTCTAAAAATTTGAATATTTCAAATTGAATCAATTTTTCAAATCTGGATCACTTAATTATAGAAGTTTCATAGAATGTAATAATATTGTTTATCAGTAATGCTATGTCTTGAACTGGTAATCAGAAATATAGAAAATAATTGAACACAAAAGATGAATTTACATAGAAATATAATGATATTCTTTGTCTGTAATTCTAAATATCAAACTAAAGTAAAAATGAAAAATGCAGATCATAGAGGTTCTTAATTCACAGAAATTCAAAATCTTCCCTAACATTAATATTTCATTCTTAGTAATTTTCTTCCCTTGTCTTTGCACGCATGATATTTTGATTATAGCTCAGAAATGAAAATTCCCTCCCTCTTCTTTTTTTATCTGACTCTGCAGGGGTATGTTTTTGCTGAGTTTTTCATATTTTTAATGGAATCTGGGATGAAAATATGCACAGGGGGTTGAATTATTGAGAATATGAAAGTTAAATTTTTCTAGACTGGAATACTCCTGACAGGAAAAAAAAACCCCAACAACAACATGAACTGCTGTTCAAATGCTTGTATTCCAAGGAATCTCAAAAGTTGTCAGAAATGATTTGTCAAACTGTGTGAAGACCGGAGGCAATGAAATTCTGCAGATAATAGTCTCTGAACAATTATCTGGTAAAAAAACGGAGGAAAACATGAGAAAAATGCTTAAGATTTACATTTAACCTTGTCTCATTTAGACACAAAAACATGACAGCAGATGTTCAAAAATATGGAGAATTTTTTCTTTTCGTTTTTTTGCAGGGAATTTTCAAGTTTTGAAAAAATCCATTAGCCACCTTGTTCATTAAGGTTATGTACATGGAATGGCATTCTGCAAGGATGTATCCTGAGGGAGTAATTATAGGGGAGGGGCGTAGGTATTTTTTAAGAGACAAGTAAACGCATAAAGCATGTAACAGACCACACAGTACCCCTGGAGGTAGTTGAGTTGTTTCCAAGTTTCCAAACAGCTGGCAAATTTTTTCATAGAATAAAATAATTAGATAGAATTTTTGTGCTTTTTTTAATGCAAGAGCAAAAAACTGTAGGGAGATGTTTGAAAGGTTATTCACATATTTTTACCTCTGTCAGAAATACATATAACCGAAAAAAGTGAATTTCGGAGATGATATTTTAAAGTGACGTTTGTAAAAGTGACATTCCCTATGATTAGACATATAACACTTTACCATTATGATAATTATAATTATTAATTCTCTTTCTTCTCTTTGAGATGTCATTTATGAGATGATATTTAGGGTAGTGTGATATTCATAGTAGTATGACATTTTCTTTGAGAGGACACTTTTATAATTAAGATGACATTTACAGTATATTAAATTGATAATAGAAATACAAAAACAAGGGAGTGTGGGCTTGAATCACTGTGACTGCACATATTGACTCATCAAACTTTTTTGTTGATTATGTTATGTGTGAAGGCCTTCTGATATAAATAAAGACAAGCCGGTAGACGCTTTTTTTGGGGGGGGGGGGGATCACTAGTACCGAATCTGAAGTAGATTTTAGATAAATGAATTTACATGAATTATTATAACTAACAATCATTTGTATCATAGTTCGGAGCCCTTTTCGTTAAAAATGTTGGGGTTTTAAATCTTATACTAACAGCACAGTGCGTTAACTGGAGGGGGGTTATTATTTCCGCATTCCGGAAGGGCCCTTTGTTTTGGTCTTTTTGCGGGGGTTTTACATTTGTGAGGGCAGAGAAAGGGAAAGGGACAAAAATGTTTTTCAGATGTTCGTTCTTTTGGTTCTTTTTTGCCGGGGTTTATTTTGAAACAGGGAACGTGCTTTTATGTTTGACTATGATACAAAAGAGAAAGAACACCAAAACACTCGGCAATCTGATTTATACTCGGGGGCTATGCCCCCTCGTACAAATCAGATAGCCTCGTGTTTCGATGCTCTTTCTATTACGTATTGTATAACTAATAGTCATATATTGTAAACAGAAAAATATGCATTCTTAATGTTTGTTAAATTGAAAGGGGGAATAAGCAACATATTCATAGAAGAGGACAGGACATGAAGTTAATTGATTAATGAATTGGTATTGTTTTTTTTTGTCAATTTCAGATCAGGATGAAAGGTACAAACCTAAAGTTCATGGACTTGAAGGTGAAAGATCAGGGGAACTATACTTGTGTTGCTCAAAATGTTGCGGGCTCAATAGAGTTTACTTATGTTCTGGAGGTCATGGGTAAGATAATGATTATTGTTAAAACACTGTCGGATTTAGGGGAGCACATTTGAATTTTAAGTGATTTTTAGTGACTACATTAAAATTTTATCAGTGGATTTTGACCATTGAGTGTAAATGCTAAGACCGAAGATTGTGATTGGCACTTTTGGAGAACAAGAAACTGTCCAGTCAAAATCCTTTTCTGTTTTAATTTGTAATAACAAAGTCCCATCTATGTTTCTAACAAAGGCTGGGTAGAATTTTGTCAGTATCCAATGGCTACTTATATACTTGCGCTTAATGATGACACAATGACAAGGTGTGAATTAGTGTGGACAATAATCATTTTTTGTTTTAAACCAAATTTTTAGCTTGCCTATTTGAACATAACCCAGGCATTAATTGGCACAACATGTTCAAGTTTTTGTTGTGTGCAATTTCATGTAACATTAACAACTGAACATATTCACTTAAAAATAAACACATTTGGGTCAAACAGTAATTTGTCTCTATCCAAGATCCGTAACTCTTCTGTGAATTTTGGCTTACTTATACCCATCTGTGAAAAAAACAAAAACAAAAAAAAACAGCAACAACAAAAAACAAGGCTTTGCTAGCAAGTTTTATATATACAAGGACAGGTGGCATTTTCTTGAATCTCAAGAGGTAACTGTTGGTAGGTAATTTAACAATACCATAACTTAGGGACCTTTCACTTTTTCCCCTTTAAAAAAATTTTTTGCTATCAAACCCTGAAAAAAAGGGAAAAAGGCAAAACTGCTGTCCCAAATGACATCTTTTAATCACCAGATTTTCTTTTTATTTACATTTTTTGGGAAATAATCATCCATTGAAAGTCTGCTATAGACTGGTTCCTGAAAATACCAAGAAAAAAGAGCTCCCAAATATTCTGAACAAAATAGGACTAGAGTATCTGGTAAATTTCATTTTCATAAAACAGACCAATTTAAAATAGCAGGTATAGCTGATGTAAATTAGATGTTTTGCTCTTAACTTGGCATGATAGATACAGAATACAGAGCAATGTAATTACTTATTACTGCCAGAAATATTGATAAATATGCATCTTTATATTATATAAAATTAAACTCCAATCTATTAAGGTTGCATGATTCTGATATTTTGGAAGAACTCTGGAAACAGTTTACTTTACTGGAGCATTTTTTTCCTGGCTATGTTTACAGTATTAATCAGACCTGCCGTTATTTTGGAACTTATAACCATTCTTTGTTGTTGAATATCAGAATGTTGAAATTATACAACCAGTTGTATATAAACAAGCCTTCAAAGTGTTAAGTATTTCAGAGGTTTCTTTGTAACATAAGCCATCATGCACAGTGTTATGATTTTATGAACCTGCATATTTAGGTTTTGGTTGGTTATATAAACCAAAATTTAAAGGGTTTGGTTAAATAAACTAACATTCAGAAGCTTATGGTTATATGCACCAGCATTCAGGGAGACAAGGTTAATTAGGATGATTATGGTTATATAAACTGGCTTAAAGATGGGTATGGTTATATTAACTGGCTTAAAGATGGGTATGGTTATATAAATCAGAAAGTTGTTGTTTTATAACACAGCATTCAGAGGGTTATAGTAACTTGGTTATATAACCAACTTTTAGAAGGGTTACAATAATTTGAATGAAACTAGGTCCTTTATCAATTATGCAATTTTTATCAATAATTTTCCATTTTAAATCCCCAAGTGGATTTTTATATTTTCAAATTTAATGGGACCTTGGGGCTTTTGTTACAAACATGTAATGTTATAAGTTTTACAACTTGCACTTTGAACTTAGCAAGAACTAGCATTGTAGTCTCTTTTTTGTGGGGAAATCTTTTGACAATAAAAAATTTATGTGCAGAAGACATATAACAATACATTATTATACATTTTAATGAAAACTTATATGTCACCTAAATAGTTTGTGTACAAAATACACCATGTTTATTAGCAGGCCTACTGCTGATGGGCTATATGAATAATTTAGAGAATTTCCGTAATCTGTGTTGATTTATGGGCAGATTTTCTAAAATTGTCACCGATTCTCGAGACTATTGCATGTACTTCATTATTTATATGTAATTACAATTTTTTGTGTGCTTTTCTGAGGTGACAGAATTAATGCTGCAAAATTGCTGATTATGCAGTATCTGTTTACATTGGCTTTTACTAAAGGTGAAGCAATTGACTGTAAATTGTTCAAAATGTATTCTGTACCAGTCAGCTTATATAATTTATGAAAAGATGGCAGGAAAAAAACTTTGATACTTTTGATGTTTGTCCAAAAATGTTAATCTGAAATAAGAGTTTGTTGGCATAAATATTTTGCTAGTGGTTTGTGGCAAAGTAGTTTTAACATTGTTCACTCGAAATTGTTCCCGCGGAAGTGCTATAAAAATTCAAATCCCATATTAAAGTGATATTAAATCTTTAAATGTGACGGGGCTATTTCCCAACTGCTAGCATAAAGGTTGTTTGTTGGCCCAAGGTCTTTTACTATCTTTATAATGCCTACTTTCTAAAATTAAATATATCTGCAAGAATTTTTATTTGTTTGGGTCGTCAGACCAAACAAATAATGGTAGCGAAATTTCAGAGTCTAATGATGTTAATTGCAAATGCCGAAAGTAGTCCACTTTTTTGAAGCGGTTACTTCCCTTTATATGTACACAAACACCGAAAAATTCAGGGGAGATCACTGCGTAAAGATGATCAAAGACAAGTGCATTAATTTTCAAGCAAAATAATTCCCGAATGGTCGAAGATTTCTAATATTGTTTTATTGTATTTTCTGATCGAAAATAAGTTAATACAAAGCGGACATTCAATCTCTGACACAGAAGTTTACGACAAACCTAACAACAAGTAGTTCTCAAAACAGCTTAAAACTAGTGATTTAAAAGAAAAAAATATTTTTATTTTGTTACAAGTATCCAACAAATTACAACGCATTCAAAGTTTAAAAATAGCGTTGGCTTATAGAATTGTCAATAAATGCACAATCACAAATTACGCGGATGAATATGATTTTATCAATGAAAATACTATTTTTAGCGATGTCGATTACCGAATACTACACAAACCACAGGCGCTAGTCACATAATCAAATATTTTACATAACCGGTCTATATATGTATATAAATATATCTTATTTTAGTATATAGCCCATATAAAACTTTAAAAATTTGTTTCAAGCACCTGTGACACAAACCGAGTAGTGGAATATATAGTTTCTACATGTAGGACTGTTTGGGCGAGAAGATTTTCGCTAAATTATTTACTTCAATTAAACAATAGGTTTATCCTGAACAAAATACCTCGAAATTAATAAGGATTACAAACCGAAATGCAATGGAAGTTCTAAATTTAGAATGACTTGATGTTATTCAGACATGATTGGTATAACTTCTCCGTGAAGCAGGGGTAACGCGCTCGCTTAGTGAGTGAGAGGTCTGGAGTTCAAACCCCAGTCGAGGAAACTTTTTTTTTTTTTAAATTCTTTTTTAAGTGTCTTTGTTAAGGAAGTAGCCATGATATGCAAGGTGTGTCTGTCATAAAAAATGAACATAAATGATTTTTTGATGCAACTCTAGTTATGCAGAATTCCGTATGTATCAAACTCTGGTGCCTTGCAAAATGAATTATAATACATAAAAATAAACTTATACAGGAAAATACATACAGATATACAGTACGATTTAGATTGCAAAGATCAGAAAACACCACAGAACTTGCAGCCCTTTGATTCTTTATAAATATACATGCTTATATAGTAAGCTCCAGGATTATTTACATATGTGTTAAACAACAGTTTAAGTCGTTACAAGCCCTAATTTAGAATAATATGGTTTTCTTCAGGCCGTTCACATATAAATTCACCGTGGCTGAAGGGTTTTCGCGCTCGCTTAGGAAGCGAGAGGTTTGGAGTTCAAATCCCAGTAAAGGCAACTCATTTTTTTTCAAATTGTTTAAGTCAAATTAACATTGGATTGAATATCAGTGTTGCAATTAGTCTTATAGCCAATTTACTACAATTAAAACGCTGGAAAGCATTGGTGGCACTATACATATAATCTCACAACCTGTACCTTTCTTACATTCTGAGACCCAAACAAATTCAGCGCCTTCTGTGCTTTGATTTATTCTGTCATCAACATCATGGATGAATCACAAGAAATTGATAGTATATTACTATAAAACTTTATATCTATTGTCAAAATGGTATTTCAGTGAAATTTCTATAGGGCAATAACCAGCTTTAAACATCTGTGTCAACTTTGCTTAAAGCAATACTTCACAATAGATTAAAACTCTCAAGTCTCCCAAAGGGGGTATTGTTGCTTTGCAGAGGTTAAACTGTATTGTCTGCGTTAACTATTCCAATGCCCACAGCTTGAAATTCATATTGCAAATTCAGAATTTTTTACTATTTACTATTGCTAATTTTGAGCATTAAAAATTTTTTTTGTGATTATAAATGTTTGCTAAGTAACTACCATATAAAATTAATGGAACTGCAAATAGAAATTTGCAACATTTCATCTTACAAAATAGTCCAAAATTTGAAAAATGTTGATTTTGCGAAATTTTGACCTTGCGAAAATACTTAATCTACAGTAAAAGATTGACTGAACATTTTTTGGGGGGGCTATTTATAAAAATGCCTGGAATTTAATAAATAATGATTTTTTCCCTCTTATGATAATACATAGAGATGTAATTTATTTTGCTTTCAGAGAAGATTTGGCCACTTGAAGCCAATGTCTCGTCCAATATGACTGTATATGAGGGGGAGGACGCCAGGTTTTTCTGTATTGTAACCAATGACGAGACAGCAAAGATTCAGTGGCTTCGAATAGAACGAGATGAAACCATAGGTGATAGACCACAACATACAGTAAGTTAAAGTACAGGTGTTGATTTATACAGAATTTAGTTTAGTTTGATTGTGTAGGAAGCTATTAGCTTATAAACACACATTCGAAATTCGTTCCTGGAACCAACCAGTACTGAGCAATGAGTTCAAGGAATCAACAACTTGCCCCTGACAGGGTTTGAACCCATGCGGCTAGCGATCATTAGATTACTAGTCCGAAGCGTTAACCGCTCAGCCATGCCACCACCACCAATAGGTGTTAGACCACAATGCATGTAAATTTATACCAGAGGTGATTCACTTGATAAGTAACACTGTCACATTAGCTAGTGTCATTTTGCAGAGCATGAAATATATACAATAATTTTTAACCAGGTTTTCCGAAGGAAAAAACTGGTTATTAGATTGAGGTATGTCGGCGGGCGGGCGGTCGGGCGGGCGGGCGGACGGGCGGGCGGGCGGGCGGGCGGCGTAAACAATTTCTTCTGTGCGCAACTTCTCCTACATTTCTCAACGGATTTTGACCAAACTTTCACAGAAGCTTTGTCATCAAGTGCCCTGGCGCATATTGTCAGGGTTTTGCGATTGGATAATATTTGACCTAATTATGGCCCTTTGTTTTTTTTCCTTATATAAAATATATATTGAACATTTTCTTCTTTGCGCAACTCCTCCTACATTTCTCAACGGATTTTGACCAAACTTTCTCAGAAGCTTTGTCATCAAGTGCCCTGACACATATTGCCAGGGTTTTGCAATTGGTATATATTTGACCTAATTATGGCCCTTTGTTTTTTTCCTTACATAGAATATATAGTGAACAATTTCTTCTGTGCGCAACTCCTCCTACATTTCTCAACGGATTTTGACCAAACTTTCTTAGAAGCTTTGTTATCAAGTGCCTGGCACATATTGTCGGGGGTTTTGTGATTGGATAATATTTGACCGAATTATGGCCCTTTTGTATATTTTTTCCTTATACAGAATATATAGAGAACAATTTCTTCTGTGCTCAACTCCTCCTACATTTCTCAACGGATTTTGACCAAACTTTCTTAGAAGCTTTGTTTTCAAGTGCCTGGCACATATTGTCGGGGTTTTGTGATTGGATAATATTTGACCGAATTATGGCCCTTTATATATTTTTTCCTTATACAGAATATATAGTGAACAATTTCTACAGTGCGCAACTTCTCCTACATTTCTCAATGGATTTTGACCAAACTTTCACAGAAGCTTTGTCATCAAGTGCCCTGGCGCTCACTAAATTCCCATGTTTCTTCCAAGACATCATTCAAGTATTTTTTTAAAATTGTGAACATACTTTTCTTGATATCGCACAAAACACCACACGCCAATATTGTTGACAAAAGAAAATGACAAGAGACGCAAAAATGCAAAAATTAAGCAAAAATAAAGTACTGTTTACCTTTCTAAAACATTTGGGAAAAAAAGGCGAATAGACAACATAAAATTTCTCAATCATTTTTGTTTGAGGAATATTAAAAAAGCCATAATTCCTCCTAAAAGTTCAATTAAAAACAAATGCCCCTTCATGACAAAGCTTCTGTGAAATATTTTGCTGAAAACCTGGTTGCATCGCATTGCGATGTTCCTTGTATTTAACTATTTCTATAAGTCTTTAAGTCACGTGTACGGATCAAATTTATCGCATATTGAAAAAAGGTTTGAGTGCTATAGATGTGAAAGCGCAACTTATTATTTCTGTTGAAGATTGATACAGAATATATCAGAGCTTTGGGGATTAAAGAAATGTAATGTTTCACAATCACATGACGGGAATTCACTTTCACTCTGTCACATTGACAAAAACTAAACTGTTGTTTGATAGCCATGTTGTCTTTTTCTTGGATGTTGAAAAGTAATGTATAATAAAAGACCTCAGATGTCACATTGACAAAAACTAAACTGTTGTTTGATAGCCATGTTGTCTTTTTCTTGGATGTTGAAAAGTAATGTATAATAAAGGACCTCAGAATTCTGATATGTAATACTTCATTTGGCTTCTGTGTTTGTTAATTTCAGTTCCTACAAGGGGTTAACGAGAGTCCCGAGATCTTGATACTTCACGATGTCGTGCCCGCAGATGCTGGTCAATACATGTGTCTCATTGGTAACAAGTATGGCTCCAAGTACCTGCACATGTACTTGACGGTACTTGAGCTTACAACAACGACCACTTCAACGACGACAACCACTCCGACCACAACTACAACAACAACTACTACAAGTACAACAAGCACCACAACAACAACAACAAGTGTGTATATCTTTTTGTGTTAAGTTGATCTTAATGTCAGTATTTTTGTGTTTTTTGGGGTTTTTTTGCACAATTTTTCAAGATTAATTGAAATGCTTGTACTGTTCTGCTGTAAGATAGGAAATTTCCATTATATAGGACAGTTATTTCAAAATATAGAAAAAGACGACAACTGAAGTTGAGCAAATGCCAGTTCAAATTCTACTTCCATTGAATAAAGACATGGTGTTTGCAAAGAGCAAAAATAATGTTAGCAGCATTAAGTAAGAGAAGTTTGGCTAGTGTTTGTAGTGATTTTAAAACGTCTCACTTTAACTTTTCAATTATAATGATTCTAAATGATTCTATTCTGAAATCCCCCAGAAGCTGATTTAGGCGAACATACTTACTTGGTGTAGTTCAAAAGGATATGTCCCGGTAAAAGAATCGAAGAATCTTTTCAGATACTGCAACAGTTAAATTCAATGTTTTTCTGCCCCTCACTGTTGTACTGTTAGACTAAAAAGGACATTTTTCTTCATGTATGAACACATTTAGGGTTATTTTACCAAAATGTTGTAAAAAAAATAACATCTTTATTGTGAAAAAAAATCTATTTTGGACTGAGTTAACTTCATTTTCAAATTATAGCAACAACAACCACACCCACAACAACAACAACATTGCCATCTACAACAACAACATTTGAGAGAATGATTACTGAGAGAATCACAGAAAGACCCGAGAAAAAGAAGAAAGATAAAAAGAAAAAGGACAAGAAGAGGAAAGACAAGAAAAAGAAGGATAAAAAGAAGAAAGACAAGAAGAAGAAGGACAGACAAAGGGAAAAAGAAAAGGATAAAGTGTTATATGAGGACCCTTCTTATTATAATGAGTTAGACCTTACACCAACTGGGTTTGATAATTCTTACCCATTTGACAAAGGTAATATATTGGTATACTCAGGGTGTTTGTGCATGTTTACGAGGGAAAAAGCAGATTTGGGGGTGGAAGGGGGACGGGGGCAGAGGCATTTTTGTATTAAGCATTTCAATGCTGATGAAATAAATTAAAATACCAAAAATGCCTTTGGCAACATAATATTATCATGTTTGTGCATGTATACAAGGGACAAAGCATATTTGGGGGGAGGGGGGTGGTGCAGCAACAGCATTTTAAAGTTAGGATTTCAAATCTAATGAAATACTTTATAAGTCTGCTGATGAAATAAAATACTACAAAAGTCTTTGCCAACATTATATATCCATGGCAAATTGTACATCAGTGTAGTCAGACCAGATATATTATACTGTAAAACTGGACAACTTATTATATTGTGTTTAATAATGACCCTGCAGCAAGGAAAGGGAAATTTGTAAAATTCCTTTTCGGAGGGGGTTTAATTTCTTAAAAAATATAAAAGAATGTTTTATAGTTCAGATTCAATTTCCCTTAAAATTCCCTGTGAGGGATGACTAAAATTTTTGGGTAGGTTCATTTATTTTTTTAAGAATAGAGAGAAATTATTGTGAGAAAATTTTTTTGTACAAAAAAATTTGGGAGAATGTCAGTAAAAACCTAAGTTTTTAATTTCCATTTTAAACCCTTAAATTCAAACATTAAATGGTTTCTCAAGAATAATATTTAGTTTTTTTAAATTTCCGTTTTAAACATTAAAATTTGCTGTTGTTTTATTTTCAGAAAAATTGTCGACCAAAAACCCAATTTAAAAAAACAATTAAAATTTTTTGAAAAAGGGAAAAAAAATTCACAAGATTATATTTGAAAAAGTTTTAAACCCAACTGAAGTTCGCAACAAAGACTTTAATATTTACATGACAGAGAAGAACCAAAATAATGACGATGTTCACAATGATAATAACTTTAGTTCAGTGAGTAAGAAGAATGAGACAGTGAACGGGGCTGCAGCCACGAGTGGAGGTATAAGTGTATATACTGTATATATAATAGTGGGTGCTGTCGCGGGTGGAATTTTATTAGCAGGACTTGTTGCTATAGCAATTGCATTATGTTGCCAACGCGAGGAGGACCCACAATATAAGTCGACGTCAGTCTGACTATGACGTCAGAGTGCGGGGGATGGACAGCTTCAGGGGTCAAATATGGGGTCAAACTTTGTGCCGAATGGGGGAACAGAGACACAAACTACTCCACGGCATGAAAGTTATTACATTGAATCTGTGTAGCGTATAATAATTAAAAGTCAATCATTTAGATTCCTATAAGCATAAGTATACAGAGAAATATTTTCTAATAGAATGATTTGCATTGAACTCTTATTTACTGAGCATTTGGCAAGTCATTCTTGTGAATAGACTTTAAGGTGTAAATTGTGTAAATTATTTGGAAGGCAGTGTTAATAATGTTTGTGGTATTTGATTGAAACTATTGCAGTCGGATATTTGGTGAGAGGTATATTCTATATACACATTATATAAAATGTACATTTCATACATACTGTATGTGTGTTCAAATAAGACTGCTTGGAGCGTGTAAAATTTTACTTTTACTTTTGTTTCTGATACCATTGTGAAGAGTTTTGTTTGGAGTAAAGGAATCCAAAGAAATGAATGAACCCGTATCATCTTGAAATGAACCCCAACAACCCCAAAGGAAAGAACCTAAAAACAGGAGAGAAATATAACGCAAAGTTGTCCATGGCAAATAAACCCTTAGCACTCTTTAGATTGTTTGAGAATTAATTTTCTTACCTACCTTATAAAAAGGTTGTGACAATTCTAATGGCGTATAGAATTATATTAAGTGTTGTAAAAAGAAAAGGTAAATAGAATTATTATGTAAGTTGACATGTATATAAAAGTAATATGAAACAAAAAGGAGAACAATCACTCTGGAGTTGAATCACATCTTTGGGAGAAAAAATATAAACTAGAAAGAGATTATAGAAATTGTTTTATGTTTGAAGAATTTTTTCTTATGTTTAAGTGATGTATTGATGTATTGTCAATTTATATACAAATGTTTATTTAGTGTTGTTTAGCATTTATTTCTTATTGTGTTATTATTGATACATGTATATACATATGTATATGTGTTTGGGAGTAGGATTTTTATTATGGCCATGAAGCAGATATATATATGAGAGCATTTTCCTTATTTACAAGTTAGCATTATTGATATTATCAATGTCAGATATCTTGACGATGGATATCTCAACATTTGTTGTAACATAAATTTCAATAATTCTGGACAATACAGGATTAAGTTTGTTTTTATTTTTTATATAAAAACAAAAAACAATGCTGAGAAGAAACTTGCAAGTGTAGACTTTATTGAGACATACCTTTTACATGAAAAATTTATATTCTATATGGTTTTTTTTACCATGATTTAGGCAGCTGATTATGAGAGAAATAGGGATTTTTTGTGTGCCATTTATACATATATGATCTTTTTTTTCTTTCTTTTTTTTGCTCTTTTTCTTAATGTAGTCTACTTGTTTATGTAAAGTTTACACTGTGAAATATTTTACCTGATTTAGTGCCAGTATTTCCTGTGCAATCTACATTTTAATTAATACTTAGTCACAAAAATTACAATCATTTCCATTACTTTGTAATAGTATTACTTTAGTGATAATAAATATCAGTCATTTCTGATTTTTAGTGACAAAATAACAAAGTCATTTAAAAATTTGTTACGTAGTCACAAAAATAATCATTTTTCATTCTTTTGTGACAAAAATAACAATCTTTTCTAGTTTGCCTGAAATATCTGATATTCAAAATTTTGTCACACGATTATTTTTATATTTCATCATTTTTTGTTTGTTTCTTAATTAACCATATTATGATGACCAAATGTTATAACCCTACGATAAAAATGGCAATATGTCTAAATAATCTTTACAACAAAACAGTAAGTTATCAATTAGGATGTCTGTCTTCTAATGTGACACATTTATAAGAGTTTTAGTAAGTGCTGAATTCGGATTTATTTCTGACATGTTGTCTGCACTTTCTATATTTCATACCAAACACACCTCAGTGTTGTCATACTTTGTATTATACATCTTTTATTTTAAGGATAACAAAACTTTCACATGGGCTTGAAATTCAGTCCTCGGGCCTTTTTCTACCTATCTCTTTGCTCTGACTATCATTCATAAGTCTGCTTAACACCATTAAGTCAAAACTAAAAAAAATTTCACAAATTTAATTTTGTGCATAATTTCATGTAATAAATAACTAATATTAAGCAACATTCATTTTTATTGATACATTATTCATTCTCTTAACAACATTGATGTAAAATTTAATTTTTTTCCCAATTTGGGCAAAATTGACAGCCAAGAAATTTCCCAATATTCTATGATACTTTTCCCTCAATATACATGTAGGTAGAAAAATGGCCTGGGCATGTAAATGTATTCTAGGATGGAGATGTATATATATTTTCTTCTTGGAAATATTTTTGTTTTTTATCATGTATCATGATATATGTATGTATATTTTATATCTATGTTTTTTGTATGACGTATTTATTTAATGTTTGCATTGTACTATATTTGTTTCTGTATATAAAAACAGAAAAAATACAAAACAGCTGGCTTGAAAATTTGAAGAGATTATTTTGTTTGGCTTATGAAATAAAATATTAATTTTTCTAAAAGTTGCAATAGATGTTATCTGGAACTGGGCAAATGTTGATTATACTTATTCTAATACATAGGGGTACACAAAAACAAAAAAAGTTGTTTGTACCTGGGAGTTAGATGAGAAAATCCGGCAAAAGTCAAGTTTCCGGAGTACATCTATTCTAACAACATGCAGAATGTGTCATATACAACATGTAGCTTTGAAAAGGTTTCTGCATGGCTGAGTGGTTAAATTGTCTGGTTTCAAATCACACTACCCTTTTGAAACGTGTGTTCATATATCTGATTTGTAGTTACATTATCATGTATTTTAAATAATAGAGGATGTATTGTTAAGAAGAACATGATTGAATTCCTTTGGCAAAGTAGTTTTACAGGGTATCATAAAATTGAATTACAGTACATAATATTTTTAGAGTATTTTTATAAGTTTTTAGCAATTTTGCAACTCCGTCATTATTTCCTTTTTAGAAAAAAAAAAAGTGCAATGTCTACTATTTTACATCAAATCCACACATAGATATCTGTTTCACATCAGTACATTTTGTTCATTGTTTGATTACTGAAAATTTACGATTTTTAGTGTCAGATTTAAAAAATTTACATTTTGATATTTTTTTATCCCTCCCACCAGTGTCTCTTTATACAATGAGATTTATTTTATAATCAAAATGTTGTTTTTTTTTCTTCATTTTTTGTTACTACCTCCTTTATTTTACTTGCCATATTGTGTTTTAAAAGTATTACATTTTAATTTAACAATTTTTACGCTTTCTGATGAAGTACACTAGAGCATATTTATACATATAAAGTTGCCAGATTGCTCTGTTCTGTTTTACCTGGTATTTGGCCAAAAAAATAAAATTCATTTAGTGACTGAAATTTTACAAATTCAATCTGTTGGTGCTTTGTTTAGACCTCTAGCCCTTAACTTTGATGGGTGTCAAGGTTGATCTGGTCAAGGTCACCGAGGATAAAAATAGAATATCCTTCTTGTTCTAATAAGTAAGGCAATGTTTTTAACTTTGTCAGGATATAAGGGATCGTCCACCATATAATGGATATTCTTGGATTTTTTAATGTAATTACTTTATAAATTGTAACCAGTTTTAAAATGATAAACATTTCAGGAGATTTTGTTAAACCACTAATTTTCAGTTTTAAAATTATATAGATATATTACTTTTATGGTTTAGCATTGTTTTAAGAACTTATTTTTTGGTATAACCAATTTTTTTCTCTTTCATTTGTACGAGACCTACATTTTGAGCTTGAAAAAAAAAAGCATTTTTTAACAAATTGAAAAAACATTCAATTTTTACTGCTATCATAATTATAGGTTTTAAATCTTTTGTATTATGTTAATGAGTTTTGTTTTGTATTATTTTGATAATATTGAAAAGATTCAAATAATATTGAAATAAGATTATGTTACATACATATACATTTATTATACAAATTTTCAATGTTTAATAACTGTAGATGTCCACTTGTACAAAGATATAAAAAAAATATAACAGATTTAAGTATTGTTTAAATAGAATAATTATAACAATACATGCATTTTTTTGTACTTTGTTTATCTTTAACTGTATACATGTATAAGAACTGATATTGGCATTGCATTTATTTCATCAGGGATGAAAATTGAATAATAATGGCCTATTTTCTATGTTACAATTTTATTTATAGATTTGACTTCCAGTGAAATAGTATATAATTATGTTGACATAAAAATCCTTTTATAGAATTTTTTGGTAATGTTTTGATGAGAAGCTCTTATCTATTGAACAGCTTCATTTTTACACTTTCTTGTATTAAAGTTTTTTTTGTTTTGAGAGAATTTGATACTTCTTTAAATATGAAATATTGCTTTTTCTTACATGAACAACAAATACTGGAAATGTATGCATTGTGTTAATTTAAAATAACATCTAAAATTGATCTGGCTTAGAAATTATATACAAAGTTGAGAACAATTTTCATAATACAGAGTAAAAAAGTTGAGTGATATCCCCATAGTAAACTATATTTATGTAATGTGACTTATCCAGTTTTTAAATTAGAACAGTCCATTTATATAACAAAGGATTTCTTTTTTCAAAATTAAGTATACAGCCTGATCAAAACTGCACAGAAAGATAGGCTGGCCTGACTCATTACTGGTAACATAGGCAAGATATTGTCATTAATAACATTGGCATGATTACAAGGGTTAATTACAATGTATGTTGAAATGATTTACCCCTTAACCTGAATTTGTGTAATGGATTTGCCCTGCTTTGAATTTGGAACAGTACATTCAAATTTGAAGGGATTTCAACATCAAAATTCACAAAAATAAACCTACCAGCAGTATGGAGGCTGGTTAGACTGCATGGATGTGCAGGCTGGCTTCACTCTATACTGGTGGCAAAGGTTTCCCGCAGGTTAAGGTTTTATAGTCATAATTATTGTATTGTGTTGTAGTATCAAAAATCTGTGTACTGTCTTACCAATATGTACTCTTGCTGTGAGACATGTATATTTTAAACATGTTTAATATAAAGATGAAATTACCAGTCATGTTTATATGATATGTACTTTATTAAAAAATTAAAACAAAGAATATTGAGAATTTTAAAAACTAATGTTATAAATTGACTTTTGTCATGAAACATTGGTTTCTGCAAGCCCATTTATTTTTACTTTCAGATTTAAGGTTAAAAAAGAGAATTTTTTTATCAGGGAAAGTTATTAACTTTTTGTTTTTCAAGGTTTTTTCTAAGAAATTTTTGAGAATGTGTTAATTAAAATATTAAGTGTACATACGAAGAGAGAGACATTATATCATTGATATCAGTAAACAACGATAGGTAGATTTGATCTGTAACTTTGCAATACTCTATCTAGTTTAGTAATAAATTTATAATACTACATCTTGTTGTTGTTGTTTCATGTTTATGAATGTGAGAGGCGGAGTTATCTTAAAGAATGTCAAAGTTGACCTTATCCTAATGAATGTGAGAAGTTATCTGTATAAATGTTAAAGGTAGACTTATTATGAACATTGAAGGCCGTCCGGTTAACTCAATAGTTAAGAGAGTTGGACTGTGAATTGGGAGACCCAGGTTCGATTCCTGGACAGTGCATGTCATTTTCGTTGATTGATCATGAAATCGGTTCTATGGTCATTCACACTGTACCTCTGCTCTGGCATGTACAGAAGTTTCAGTTCCATGAGAAAGTGAAGGCAACTAGTACTGGTAAACTGCTTGACAGCTTGCCGAGGAAAAGTGCGGTGGCTGAACTGTGCTCTGGTAAATTCGATGTGGCTTACTGCTGTGATTAAAAGTGAAAACTACCAAGAACATAGATGGTGTTATCTTTATGAATTTGAGAGGTGGACTTATCCTTGTAAATTTGAAGGGTCCATGAATTTGAGAAGATATAATTGACGCACGACGCGAGAAAACCGGTCTTAATGACACTACAATGAATGTGCACTACAGCGATTTAAATGACGTCACTCTTATTGCGTACTGTATACACATGTAAACACGGAAATGCTTTTTATCGTGTGTTATAGTTTTTTAAGTGTAGTAGAATCGTTAGAATTCAGAGGATTATATGATGGAGGAGGAGTTAGAAGTAAGTGTCTATAATGTATAATTTATGAAAAACAACAACAAAAATATATCATGCATGTTTATTTATAAGCAGATAAGAGCATCGAATTGATAAATATTTACTGTTGGTAATTTAACACTGACGTTTACAGTACTGTATAAAATCTACACTACAGTACTGTACTTTAAGTATGCTTTGAAATACAGAAGAATAAATTAATCGCCGACATACATCGGTGCCTTTATATAGAATAAAGTTATGTTGTTTTGATCTTAATTAAATCAAAGTCTATCGTAGGGGTTTACCGATCGATCTCATATTTTATAGGCAGATCTAAATTTAGGTTAATTTAAGAATAATCTAATCAGTCGCAAGTTAAATTAATACTCTTTTTCATAATTCATTTACAATATGTTTCTATAATTCATTTAGAACATGTAAGCAGTAAAATAATATATGACGCACGACGCGAGAAAACCGGTCTTAATGACACTAGAATAAATGTGCACTACAGCGATTTAAATGACGTCACTCTTATTGCGTATACACATGTAAACACGGAAATGCTTGTTATCGTGTGTTATTGTTTTTAAGTGTATTAGGCTATCGTTAGGATTCACAGAAAAGTTTATATGATGGAGGAGGAGTTAGAAGTAAGTGTCTATAATGTATAATTTATGAAAAACAGCAACAAAAACATATCATGTTTATTAAATCAGAGCATCGAATTGATAAATATTTACTGTTGGTAATTTAACACTGACGTTTACAGTTCTGTACTCACTACTGTACTGTACTGTATATCCACAGTACACCAAGACTAACTAGTATGCTTTGAAATACACAAGAATAAATTAATCGGCAACGTACATCGGTGCCTTTATATAGAATATATTTACGTTGTTTTGATCTTAATTAGATTTAAGTCTACGGTATTGTATGGGTTTATCAATTGCTTTCATATTTTATAGGCTAATCTAAATTTAGGTTGCTAATCAGCCGCAAGTTACATTTATACTCTTTTTTCATAATTCATTTAGAATATGTTTCTATAATTCATTTAGAATATGCAAGGCTTGCATATTCTAAATGAATTATAGAAACATATTCTATGAAGCAATAAAATAATATACGTCCATCATCATGGAATGAAAAAGAAGCTTTTTAGATTTAATATTGTCTTTTATTGATTAATTAGCACACTTAAGAATTGTTGAGAGAATAGCTCAGTGGATAATGCTGTGGCCTCACATTCAAGCAAATCGAGTGCGTATCCTGGCTGATGCCAACTTTTTATATCCGTTTTTTAATCATTATTTTTTTGTCATTCATAAGATCTGAAATCCCTCTACTCGGATTATTTTAGGAGAACACCTATCAACTCACAAAACAGATTTTTCGAGAGATACTGACTTTGATTATTCAGACGTGGAAAAATGTGACACTAGTGCAACGACAGCACTGTGGGACCACGTTCTTCTCGCACAAAAAGGTAATAATAGGAAAAATTGTAATAATAGGAAAAGAACAATAATGTAGCAATACACTTAAAAATAATTTAAACAAATATCTGCCATGCTTGAATTTTTTCCAAGCGTATTTTTTATAAGATTCAATACACTAAAGAATTTAAAAGAATGCATGTGATTTTTATTCGGACGATATCATGATTCCTATGACCGTGATTACAAAAAACTTCAAATTTATGTTTTACTTAGGATATTCTTTTTTGTAATTTTATTGGAACGTGATCTATATAATGAGTGCATAAGGCGTAGTGTTGCCACACGTGACTCAGAGGAAAAGTTTGTCCATCTAACGTTTATCCTGACATTTTTTTTATTTTGTAGCAAAATATTTACAATGATATAAGGGACAAGAGGTTTAATATATACTCTAAACTACCATCTTATACAATCAGATATATATCAGTACTAGGGATATACTACTAACATACTACAACCACTACTTGTCAACTCATATAGTATCAGTACAAATACCAGTACTGCTGCACCAGTATGTTTGGTTTGAAAGCAAATAAATACCAGACTGAGTGCTTTAACATTTTAGGGATTTTACTATCATTTTACCAAGTCTGTACACAGTAAAAATATCAGTCTTTTAACTTGGTCCTACTATTTTCTCTAAAGTTAAAAGACTTAATTTGTGTATAGATTGTGTAATTAATTACTTATTGGACTATATTTTAACAAGCATTCGTTATATTTTAGGGCTCTAAACTACCATCTTATACAATCAGATATATATCAGTACTAGGGATATACTACTAACATACTACAACCACTACTTGTCAACTCATATAGTATCAGTACAAATACCAGTACTGCTGCACCAGTATGTTTGGTTTGAAAGCAAATAAATACCAGACTGAGTGCTTTAACATTTTAGGGATTTTACTATCATTTTACCAAGTCTGTACACAGTAAAAATATCAGTCTTTTAACTTGGTCCTACTATTTTCTCTAAAGTTAAAAGACTTAATTTGTGTATAGATTGTGTAATTAATTACTTATTGGACTATATTTTAACAAGCATTCGTTATATTTTAGGGCTGGTTACGTTGGTTAAGACAAAATACAAAATATATGTATCATGAACACTGTAGTATTGTTAAAAAGCACTTCAAATCGCAGCAGGTAATTAAGGCTTTTCAATATTACAAACAAAAAAAAGGACATGCGCGGTGTTTAGTTGATACGGGGTTCGCACATCTAAAGATTAAATTCCGGTGGCATGATTTAGAAACACTTCAACAGCTGGCCCATGCTAAAGAGATGTCATCTACAACCAACAGCCTGTATGTTACCCCATTAAGTTGTCATGGCGACAATGGAAACCCGTTCTAGAGGGATTTTTCAAACCAATTATTGGTTTAAGGTAACATATGTTTATCTTATTTAAATGCAAATGTTGAAACTCAGAACTCCAGACTCAGAAAATATCTTAAACATGAAAAATAAATTAAGGGTTAATTGTTTCTTTAATTGTTTACAAGAAGCTTTATTTTCTTCTTCGATTTAGTTTAACTTTATATTATGAAGACAATGTAGATACTGTATAAATGATCCTTAAAGAGTAATAAGCTCTATCTGTTAAAATACTTAATAAAATTAAAAAATAAAATTAAACGTCCGTGGCCGAGTGGTTAAGGTCGTTGACTTCAAACCACTTGCCCCTCACCGCTGTGGGTTCGAATCCCAACAGGGACTTTGGATTCTTTCATGTGAGGAAGCTATCCAGCTAGCTTCGGAACGTCGGTGGTTCTTCTCAGGTGCCCGTTCGTGTCTGAAATAATGCACGGAAGGGCACCTGAGGTCTTCCTCCACCAGTAAAGCTGGAACGTCGCGATATAACCTATACTGTGTCGATGTGACGTAAAACCCAAACAAACAAATAATAAAATTTAAAAAAAAAACAACAGAAAAAAAACATAAGGAAATGGTTCTGTAATCACATTTTAATAGAAATTGTTGTTACATAGAATGTCTCCACGTGTATATTGTTCGTGATCAGCATAAAATGTTTCGGAGCAAAAAATTATGCAGAGGGAATTCGCAACATATATCCAGCTAATACACTTTAATGTGAAATTCTGTAACATTTTTTTTCTGGTTAAATTAGATTTATATGTACGGATAGTCTTATTTTACAAAAAAAAATAAATATTTTACACACATTTACAGTTGATGAAAATCAGTCATGTGACCAAGTTTACTGTCATGCTCTAAAAACTGTCCAATTTAAGCTCTTCCGTTCTTTTAACTTACCGAGTTGTGAATGTGCTCTGAATAATGTTGGTTTTTTATCTATTAAAGCATATAAGGAAATAAGTTTGCGTTATTTTTCATTACGGATATTGATATTTATCATTTTTCTATTGATAGAAAATTTCCGGTTCCAGTCGAACACACCGGGTGTGGTTATGGGCAAAATAACACCTGAAGGCGAGGAATATTTGATTCAAGTCTTGAAAGAACACGGATTCCGGTTCAGTCCATGTGTCCGTCCAAGCGTTATTACGCATAGGGAATGTCAGCAGTGTCGCGAAGTGTGCGTGTGTTCGTCTGTCAAGACAGTTAATGATATTATCAGTGATTAAGGTGCACTGTTATAACAGCTAAGTGCTGATTTAAATATCCAGAACTGTTGTTGTTTGTTGTTAAAAAATACGGCCATTGTTTCTGTTATAAAGAAACTGTTATAAAGAAAAAGAGAACTTTTTTATTTAACTATGTTTTTTTTCATAAGTATTAAACGTTAAACGTAGACTTATATACTTTTGTTGATTTATTTCTTTTGGTATTTACCTAAATATTTGTCTCATTTCAATCTATGTGACCCGGGCATACTAAAACCCACCAACACACCTGTACCTTCCGGTTCAATATATATTTGTTTTTCAAGCAGTATATAGTATGAAAAATTCCCGTAAAGATGATGAATAATTTTGTCCACATTAAAGGTATATAGTGTTGTAATGGTTGAAAAAACAATTATTTGCGCCATGTATGACTCGCTTATGGGCGTTGTTATAACGTTGCTAAGCAACGCTAAAATCGAAATAAGCGGGAAGTCTATAGTTTAAATAACTTAATTACTTACTTCTTTACAGCTTAAACATACTAATGCAGTGAACTTCAGATTTAAATAGTATTGCCGTTTTAATTTTCCAATTAACAACGTTAAACGTCAAAATTTAATTTTTCGACGTCATTTGTTAACAAAGTGATCAAATATATGACGTTCGTTAAATTGGTATATCTAAATAACTAACCCTTTGATATGAAAACGGTTTTCACCGTCATATTCAGAAAGAAATTCTCTACAATTATATGTGAAAAACCAAATTTCGAAAAAAATGTCATTAAGACTGGTTTTCTCGCGTCGTGCCTCAATTATGTCCAAAATATGTTACGTCATCATGGAATAAAAAAGTTTTTTAGATTTAATATTATTTATCTTTTATTAATTAATTAGCACGCTAAAATATTGATGAGAGTATAGCTCAGTGGATTATGTTGTGGCCTTACAATCAAACAAATCGAGCTCGTATCCTGTCTGATACCAATTTTTTTTATATCTGTTTTTTATTTATTTTTTGTCATGCATAGGATCTGAAATCCCTCTGCTCGGATTATTTTTGGGAGAACACTTATCAAGTCACAAAACAGATATTTCAAGAGATACTGACTATGATTATTCAGAAGTGGAAAAATGTGACACTTGCAACGACGGCACTGCGGGACCACGTACTTCTCGCACAAAAGGTAATAATAGGAAATGAACATTAAATGTAACAATACACTTAAAAATAATTTAAACAAATATCTGCCATGCTTGATTTTTTTCCAAGCGTATTTTGATAAGATCAAATAAGATTTGTACTAAAGAATTTAAAAGAATGCATGTGAGCCACTGATTTCTTTTCGGACAATATTATATAATGAGTGCATAAGGCGTAGCCACACGTGACTCGGAGGAAAAGTTTGTACAACTTACGTTTATCCTGGTATTTTTTCAGTTTGTAGCAAAATATTTACAATGATATAAGGGACAAGAGGTTTAATATATACTCAAAACTACCATCTTACACAATCAGATATACATCAGTACTAGGGATATACTACTAAAATATTACAACCACTACTTGTCAACTCATATAGTATCAGTACAAATACCAGTACTGCTGCACCAGTATGTTTGGTTTGGAAGCAAATAAATACCAGTGCTTTAACATTTTAGGGATTTTACTATCATTTTACCAAGTCTGTACACGTTATATTTTAGGACAAAATAAAAACCGTTACACTGGTTACGTTGGTTATTTTTTATGTTAGACGATAAGACAGGACAGAATGAAAAGATTGAGTACCATATGCAAGTACTAGGTACTGATTCAAGAAATCTTCATTACTAAGATTTTACTTACTTCTAGTTACTCGGCAATCTGGACTGATTTTGACACTCTTATCTGTTTTCCCAAAGACAAAATATGAACACTGTAGTATTGTTAAAAAGCACTTCAAATCGCAGCAGGTAATTAATGCTTTTCAATATAATTACAAAATAATTTAAATTTTCTTTTAAAGACATGCATGCGCGGTGTTTAGTTGATGCGGGATTCGCACATCTAAAGGCATGATTTAGAAACACTTCAACAGCTGGCCGATGTAACAGAGAAGTCATCTACAACAAACAGCCGGTATGTTACCCCAAGCGGTCATGGCGGCAATGGAAACCTGTTCTTGGGGGATTTTCAAACCAATTATTGGTATAAGGTAACCTATGTTTATCTCATTTAAATGTAAATGTTGAAACTCAAAACTCCAGACTAAGAAAATATCTTAAACATGAAAATTTAAGGGTTAATTGTTTCTTTAATCGTTTACAAGTAGCTTTATTTTCTTCTTTGATTAACTTTATATTTTGAAGAAAATGTAGATACTGTATAAATGGTCCTTAAAGAGTTATCTGTTAAAATACTTATCTGTTAAAAAAAAGCAAAAAAAAACAAAAAACATAAGGAAATAGTTCTGTAATTACATATTAATAGAAATTGTTGTTACATAGAATGTCTCCACATGTATATTCTTCGTGATCAGCATTTTTAAAATGTTCCGGAACAAAATATTATGCAGAGGGAATTCGCAACATATATCCAGCTAATACATTTTAATGCGAGATAAATTCTGTAACATTTGTTTCTGGTTTAATTAAGTTTATATGTACGGATGGTCTTATTTAACATTTACATTTTATGAAAATCAGTCATGTGACCAAGTTTACTGCATGTCATGCTCTAAAAACTGTCCAAGCTCTTCCGTTCTTTTAACTCAACGAGTTGTAAATGTGCTCTGAATAATGTTTTTTTTTATTTATTTATTAAAGCATATTAGGAAATAAGTTTGCTGCATTTTTCATTACGGACATTTATCATTTTTCTATAGATAGAATATCCTGCACTTCCGGTTCCAGTCGAACACACCGGGTGTGGTTATGGCCAAAGTAACACCTGAAGGCGAGGAATATAAGATTCAAGTCTTGAAAGAACACGGATTCCGGTTCAGTTCATGTGTCCGTCCGAGCGTTATTACGCCAGTAGGAATGTCAGCAGTGTCGCGAAGTGTGCGTGCGTTCGTCAGTCAAGACAGTTAATCATATTATCAGTGCACTGTTACAACAGCTTAGTGCAGATTTAAATAGTCTGGCTGTTTGATGGATGTTAACAACACGAAATGAATAACTTCAAATATATTTACGAGGCAGAAAAGTTCAATGTTTCTATTTAAATATCAATTGTTGTTAAAGCACGGCCATTGTTTCTGTTATAAAGAAAAATAGAACTTATTATTACTGTCTATGTTTTTTATAAACGTTAAACGTAGACTTATATACTGTTGTTGATTTATTACTTTGGGTATATACCTAAAAAATTGTCTGATTTCAATAGATGCGACCCGTGCATACTAAAACCCACCAACACACCTGTGCCTTCTGACCGTGGTCTGCATGCATTATTTCTTTTTTAAGCAGAATATAGTCTGAAAATTTCCCGTAAAGATGTTATAATTAAAGGTATATAGTGTGGTAATGGTTGAAAAAAAACAACAATTATTTGCGCCATGTATGACTCGCTTATGGGTGTTGTTATAACGTTGCTAAGCAACGCTAAAAATCGCAATAAGCGGGAAGTCTATAGTTTACATAACTTCATTACTAACTTATTTACAGCTTAAACATACTAATGGAGTGAAGTTAAGATTCAAATATAATTGCCGTTTTAAATATTGCAATTAACAACGTTAAACGTCAATTTAATTTTTCGACGTCATTTATTTACAAAGTGATCAAATATATGACGTTCTTTAAATAAGTATATCTCAATAACTAACTCTTTGATTTTAAAACAGTTTTCACCGTCATATTCAGAAAGAAATTCTCTGCAATAATAAGTGAAAAACCAAATTTCGAAAAAAATGTCATTAAGACCGGTTTTCTCGCGTCGCGCCTCATATCTATGAAAGGGAGGTGACCTTATCTTTATGAATGAAAGATGTGGACTTGATGCTTAAAGCCATAAGGTGTCTACCTCTCAACTCAAAGATGATTGGTGCAAGCTCTCAACTTGGGTATGGACTATGTTTTCTAACATTATACCAAAAAAGCAGACTACAAATCCTCCTGATTAAAACTTCCTGTCTATTATTAACCTGGGCCTGAGACATGCCCATGTTTCCTAGAAAAACCATGTATAGCAAGGGTGTGTAATTTGTATTTTTATCACAACCATGTTTTCTAATGAAATCAAGTGCTGGTAAGTCCGGGATGCAGACTTGAGTGATGAATCAGTTGCAGACTTCACACCATTACAAAAGTTGTAACTGATTCCAATTTTTCTAAAATGCCACAGAAAACCCTTGGCCTTGCTTATAAGGAAACAGTTAAACTGTATATAAATTATAAAAACACAACACAAAATAATAAATATTTTCCAACTAGCTTTATTCATACATTTTGTATTTCTTTCTTTGTACATTATTTTTCCTTCTTAATAGCACCTGTAATGTTTATGCACCTTTAAATTTACAAAATTTATACCACAGGCATACATAATGATGAAAGTTAACAAAATGGGATAAGTTGCCTAGTGATTAAGGGGTCACCCTCTTAAACTGGGATAACGAATTCAAGCCCTCGTCAAGTGACAACCAAGTTTATCTTAATATGTCACCACTACTGGCTAGTTCTTTGGAAAAATGTAAGCGCTGAGTTTTTATTAATTGTTTTATTTAAAATGAATATTTTATAAACTAAACTCAGAACTAGTGTTTCTTTGTCTAAGACACCAGAATAAAATAAAGACAAAATGATTATCTTTTATTACAAGCTTTTTAAAAAGATAATTTACCAGTAAGCAATACTATATACATGTCATGTGCCTAGTTTCACTTTTTACCTGCAAAAATGTATTAGCATATAACTAGCTGAATTTGTGCAATGGATTGTCCAAATTTTGAATCTGGAATTTTTTTTTGAAAATCAAGAGATTTCAGCATCAAAATATGACCACTGAGCATTCTAAAAGTATATACCGCCTGGTCAGAGTGCACTGTTATATAGGCTAGTCAGTCTCTATACTATTAGGAAAGACTAATCACTTTCAATTCTAGTAGAATAAAGGGTACAATCATTGAACAAAACTTGAAATAAATAAACAATGTGTTTTGTTTTATAATTATGTTAAGTTCAATTATCTTTCAATTGTAAACACCATCTGACATGTCCCTCCATGGTAACATTACATCTGGTATTCACAAGGTGAAATATATCCCAAACTTACATAATGAAACAAATATTCTTTACATCAGATCTTTAGGGAATTAATAAATTCCAGGTTTATAATATCATGCTATAGCCTCTAATACAACAAAATTAAGGAAACATGTACATCCTCGGTAACCCAGGCTATTTACCGTATAGATGTATCAGTAAATAAATGTATTAAATGTAGTATATATGGAATGTGTACCGCGGGTTCCGACGATGGTACATGTATATCACTTTTCCATATGTTTATGAATTTCAGTATTAAGAAATAACATGATAAAACAATAACATTAGAAATGAAACCACATCATTATAAAATTACAGTAAAGATCTCTCATTTCCATTGTTTTACCCCATAAAAAATATAACAATTGGCAAGGTAAACCTTTAACCAACTGCTTTAACCTACCACTACTGAATTTGTGTAATAGATTTTCCCAGATTTGAATTTGGAACAGTCCATTCCAAGTTTAAGGTATTTCAGAATCAAAATACAACTAGAAATGTGTCATCATGCCACGGATGCCCCCGCATGCAGCCAAAATTTCAGATGTTATAATATTTAGTTCCAAATTTGTTTGCACAAATTATTGTTTTCATTTAAAGTTCAAAGCCCTTAAAACTTTTCAATGTTAACACAAACCATTTCCATACAATGTTCAAGGCACTGAAATTATTCAGTCTTAACCTTTTGAAAATAGCATATTTCATATTTGTAGCCAAAATAATGGCTACATACATTTCCACAAAAGTATGAGTGCTGAAACTGAAAGTTCAAAATTTTTCCAATTTTCAAGAAAGATAAGTTTGTCAAAAATCATTGAACCACGACCAAATTCAAACTTAAACTGCTTATTCCTAAGATGTATCTATATTATTTTCAAAGTGAAAGGGACATAACTCTGCCAAAAAATCATCGAACCATGACCAAATTCCAACTTGACCTGCCATTCCTTTGACATATCCATATGTCAAATTTGAGTTGAATATGTAACACTGCTGGGTAGATAATGAACAGAAACTGTAAATTTCATATTAATTTCAAAGTGAAAGGGGCATTACTCTGCCAAAAATCATTGAACAATGAACAAATTCGAACTGGGCCTGGGCATTCCAAAAACATATCCATATGTCAAATTTGAGTTGAATGTGTTGTACTGTTGGGGAGATAATAAACAGAAACTGAAAATTTCATATTATTTTCAAAGTAAAAGGAGCATAACTCTGCCAAAAATCATCGAACCATGACCAAATTCGAACTTGACCTGTATTTTCTCATGACATATCCATATGTCAAATTTGAGTTGAAAATGTTGTACTGTTGGGGAGATAATGAACGGAAACTGAAAATTTCATATTATTTTCAAAGTAAAAGGGGCATAACTCTGCCAAAAATCATCGAACCATGACAAAATTCGAACTTGGCCTGTATTTTCTAATGACATATCCATATGTCAAATTTGAGTTGAATGTGTTGTACCGTTGTGGAGATAATGAACAGAAACTCAAAATTTCATATTATTTTCAAAGTAAAAGGGGCATAACTCTGCCAAAAATCATTGAACCATGACAAAATTCGAACTTGACCTGTATTTTCTCATGACATATCCATATGTCAAATTTGAGTTGAATGAGATGTACCGTTGGGGAGATAATGAACGGAAACTGAAAATTTCATATTATTTTCAAAGTAAAAGGGGCATAACTCTGCCAAAAATCATCGAACCATGACCAAATTCAAACTTGACCTGTATTTTCTCATGACATATCCATATGTCAAATTTGAGTTGAATATGTGCAACCGTTACTAAGATAATGAGCGGAAACTGATGATGACGGAATGACAGAATGACGGAATGACGGAAGGACGGAACAGGGTAACACTATATGCCCCGGCCATTACATGGCGGGGGCATAAAAACTAAACAGTAAATAGCCTGGTTAGAGCATAGACACACAGGCTAACCTGGCTCTTTACTAGTTGAATAGACCAATCACTTTCTGTTCCAGTAGGGTAACAGTTAAAACACTTGGAAAGTCATTGATGAGTGAAGGAAATCTTTTCAGCCATAATGTTAAGTAAGACTTTATATTCATAAACATTTCTTCTTTCAAAATGTTTTGGATTATGGTTAGTTTTTCTTACAATATAGTAAAGGATTCCAATATATATATTCTTAACAGTTATATACTTTTCACATCTCATACTTTATATACAAACATAAATCATAAACAGTTAAAGCACTTTTTGTTTAATATCCTCCTAACAAATCTGATGAAATACATGTTATCCAAGCTCGAAACAATCTCGTTATCTTTTCCCATTGACCTAAAATGCTTGTTTACGAGTTATTTGCTTATAATTTTTTTTATTTTTATTTTGCAAGCAAACATCTTAAAATATGTGTTACTAGCCTGAACAAATAAACAGAAGTTCTAAATTCTGTAACATCTATAGTCTTCATAAATTTTTATTAACTTCATAACCAAGTTTCCTAGCAGAGCAACTAATTTCATTTTCAGAACAAGACAAGTATCAACTTATTAAACCATAAAATTTGGTCAAGTATCACCTTTTTCACTTGGATTTTTTAGTAAAGTCACATCACAACCCGTCTAGGTTATGTAGCAAATCTCTGGGAGAAAAACCACTTTGGCAATCTGTTTGGTCACCATACAAAAAGGTCTCAACGTTTCTTTATTGTTTCATTATCTAAACAAGCTATTTGACTTCATTTTCTTGGTCAATACTGGCTTCTTATTTGTACCAGACGACATCCAGCTAGGAAGTTTCCTTTTGGTTCCCCCACTTTGTGTACTTGACTGTGTTGCCTCTAATTGTGACTGGGAACCAGAAGCATACTTACTTCCTGAAGGCTGGTTCCAAGATTCCCCTTGACTGGGCTTAAAGAACATGACAAAAGAAAATGTTTAAAAACACAAAATATTCATCTGATAAAATTTTAAGTTTATAGAAACTCATCTTGAATAAATGAAAGTAATTAAATTATAAAATCCAAAATATTTAGCAATCTCATTTATCTATTACTTAGAGGGATAGACAATTTAAACTTAAATAACAACCCAACAGATTTTAGATGATTTTCAAAACAAGAACTGTCAGTAGGACAGGGTTCCCAACAATTCTCAGTGCTTGATAGTAAAACAAGAGCCTGGACAATACAGAATTTTATTAGTTCAAGAAGGGCTATAATTCTGTCGAAATTAATGTTTGAGTTATGGGCTTTGGATGGTGATCTCCTATTATGCTCTCAAATAAGTGTTTGAAGTTTCAAACCATTCCCTTTAGTAGTTTTTTTAGATAACTACTTCCACACAAAAACTTCATCAAAGTGTGACAGTGATGCTAAAGCCTGGTTGAGAACAAAAAGACTGCCAAAAATAGCACCTGAGCGAACATAACCTACTCTTGCAGATAATGATTATATGAACTGTGCCATGACAAAACCAACATAGTGCGTTTGCCACTAGCATGGATACAGACCAGCCTGCGCATCTCTGCAGTCTGATCAGGATCCATGCCGTTCGCTTACTACCCTATTGTAAGTAGAGAAACTTATAATTTCAACCAATCACATTTTCAAACTTACCTCAGCTGAATCTGTCAAATCAATCTGTCCATTGTCCTGACTTGACTGGCTATCCAGCAGTATTATTGCCCCTTCACTATTCACTATCTGACCGTACTGCCGCACTAACAAAGCTATCACAATCTTGATGTGGTTATATTCTATGTAGTCTGGTAGAACATCTTTTATCTTGGTCAATCTGGTGATATCTGTAATACAAGTCCAAATACATACAGCGATACCCTAGAAATTAACCATTAGCCTGCTGGTAACGAAAGTGAGTAGGTTTTGCGGCCAATAAAGATCTACACTAGTCTACTCTTCTGTGTGGTCCGACTTGGTTCTGAACAGTTTTCAGCTCGTTTTATTGTATTTTGATTTTGAAGTCCCTTAAATCTTGAATGGACTATTTTAAATTCAAAATTGCAAAGTTAGTACTGACTGAGTATATCGAACAATGCAGACCATTATCAGATAGCATGAATGTCCTGGCTGATCTTGGTCTGCAATGGTTGTATGGGTCGATTCAGCTCCTGCCAACAGTCTTATGGGTTAAGTACATAAAATTATGAAAGCTATATAGAATGAACAAAAATATCGAATACATTGTGATATGCATTTATACAAATTACATAACAAAATACTCTCATGAAACTTGTGCCTTTAAAATTGCTTAAACATGTAAACTATTATACCAGTTTTAAGTTTCAAGTTATCTTGTTTGTTCTAGCCGTAGCCAGAAAAATATTAATCATTGTAAAATTAATAATAGTCTGGATACTGGACATAAAATACAAGTTGCAGGTCCAACAATTTATAATAATGTATACTACTAACAATTTTAGCCTTAGCAATTGTACCTGATTTGACCACATTTCCTCGGATAGCTTTTGTCACCAGTTGCTTTATATGACTAGTAACTCCCAGTGCTTCAACATCTACAGGCAGTCCAACTTTCATGGCCTCAGCCATGTGTGACATCACTGTACTAGTCTTTATACCTCTCCTTGATGCTACCTCTTCCTGTTTTAAAAAACATAATGAAAAGAGATGGGAGTAAAGTTTGTAACTCTATTACAGTTCAGTTCAGTCAATTTATTGACATTAGTTTGGCTATCAAGTAGTTAATCTATGTAGTCTTCCTGGATCCTTATAAAACTTCATCAAAATTTCCAGCAGCAATACTAGTTTTCCTATGCCACCTGTATGGAGCCTGTATGCAGAATGATTGTAAGTTTATTCTTTTGGCCAATTCTTTTTTGCTTGATTTTTTTTATTTTGTTTCTTTTATTTATTATGCCAATTTTCCAGATTTACTGTTGGAGGAAGACTGGCACCTGAGTAGAACCACAACGTTCCATAAGCTAGCTGGATTGCTTTCTCACATGAAAAAAAAATCTGAAGAACCTGGTGCAGCTCAAACCTACAGCGCTAGGCATGTGGTTTGAAGTAACGAACGTAACCACTCAGCCACAGACACTCCCTTTTTAGCTTGTTATTTTGTTCACTGATTTCTTCACATTTTTTTTTGGTCAGTCAACCTAACTGGCTTGATAACAGTAATAACTAATTTCTCTGCAAGTTACCAAGTACTAAATCCTTATGATTTCTGAATTAGTGCTGAGAGAGAAATGATAATCAGACTCTATGCCAGAGAGTATCAAAACTCTTTACATAAATTTTATAAAAAAAAAAAATTCAAATTTATTAGATAACTTTATGTATTAAACTAACAGATGTTTATTAAACAATAGAAAATTTCTTTTTACATACCAGAGAGTTATTCTGAACAGCAAACATTATGTAGGAGGCCCTTTGTGTCTCCGTCAAGCTGTAAATCTCTGCTTGAAGGTCCCGAGTAGCCTGTAAATCAAAATATAATCATATTGTGTTACTACTTATATTTTTTTCTACAGATCCACTTTGATTTGCAAAATCAACCAAGATTTAGAATGACACTACCAATGTAATTTGATGACTTTCACAGCTTATATCCAAGTGAAGATCACTTGTTTATTACAAAAGAAGTTACATTAGCATGGAAGGCATCATTAGTTCCCTGTAAACTAAATCAGCATTTTCCTAAGACATCACTGGCTTTATTTAAACAGGCATTCCTCCTATTTACAGATATACATAAACATGTTAACTTAATTTAGTAAATATTTTATGTAAAATTAAGTTGGCTAAAATAAAACAGTTATACCTTGTCAGTATCGAAAAATGATTCTGGAAAGTTGTCAGTTTTAAGATCATTATCTTTACAGAAGTTTACAATCACTTCAAGCAATGGTGCCCCAAACTTCTCAACCTTGGCCTCTGGAAAGTCCTCCAACTTTAACAAACCTGCCCTCGTACTTGGTCTAAAATTAAGATATTACACTGTTTAAATTGCATGTATAAAAATACATTAGCCAACCATGTCAGCTTTGTAAGGTCTACGTGGACATACCTCATTATATATGAGTAGTCTTTATCAGATTTTTATCAGGGTGGAGGGTGTGGCGAAGAGGGGGTTGAAACACATGGACACTTTAATGATCATGTTGGGACTTTCCAATATTCATTTGTTTTATGGGCTAGAGTAAATGAAAACTGTTCAGCAACATAAGGTAAGTATATAATGAGATTGTAAAAATAGATGTAACAGGTGAAACTTATTATAGCAATTGCGGTAGGTGTCACTGTGAATTCATCAGAAAGGGTTTGTTTTGTTTTTGTTTTTTTTTGTTTAGCTGAATATCTTCTAAACATGAAAGAATCCCAAGTCCCTGATGAGATTAGAACCCATGACAGTATAAATATAGTGAATCAAAATCAGCTACCTATACCACTTAACCAAAGGACTCTTGATGCTTCATAATACAGGGTATGGTCATATTACAAAGTTTTAGAATCTAGCCGAACTTGATACTGGTGTCAAAGGTCTGATATTATAAACACTTGTCATCACAAAAGCTAACAAATTAGGGCAATGAAGATTCTCACCTGATTTTCGCCATGTCTAGAAGTACTTTATTACTGGCTATAGAGTGTGGAGTATATCCGGTCTCCTGGGCAAGCTCATTCCTCTGTCGTATCAACTTGGTATATAAGTCAGACTGAAAATATCAATAAACCGGAAGAATATTGAGCTTCAACTAAGAATTTTCATGATTCATGTTCCAGCTTGTAACAGACCATTTTAAAATCAAAGTGCAGATGCATAGGAGTATTCCGTAGTGAGGTATCTACAGAAATTGCCAATTTATACAACCTTTAATAATGCACTAGTCAATTCACTGGTTATTGATTTGTGAAAAATAAAGAGTATTTACACTCTTCTATTTTTCATCAGTCATAGTTTTAAACATGTTACCTCACTATCATACTCCTGTTAATCCAGTACACAAACCTTCATTGTGCTGTTATTCCTCGGTTGATAAGGTTAAAGAGTAGAATGGTACAGTTTCAGAAATTTTTAAGCAGAATTTAATGTTGTGTCTTGTTAATCAAATATTATTTTTTACCAATTTCAGAAGTATATGTAGACATTCCTCAGCAATAAAGACAAAAAAAAATAACCTGAAATTACAAACAAAATTCACTGTTAATGCCTAAAACATTATTACAAATACTGAACTCACCTCTAATTTTGCTGTTCTCTCATCCACTACAACTTTCTTAGGTGTATATTTGGCATTCTGTATATCCTCATAGGGATCTTTCATCAATCCAGGCTTCTGTACAGGACTGGAGAAAGATTTCCTTAGCTCTGCTGGTTTAACCTCTGGTACATTAGGTCTGAAAATTATAAAAATATATATCTTATTATATATGTACATCAATTAATATGTTAAGTTTGACCTGCAAAAAATGTATTTAAATAACACTATGTGTAGAGCTCTATATCTAAATAGTTCTTTTGATAAGTCTTAGCATATTAATTATAGCTAAATTGTGATAAAAGCTTTCAGTTTGCTTGAGTTGACTCATTTTCAAGTATGTTTCTATAAACAGTTCATTCTGTAGAAACACATCTACATCCTGTGATCACAAAAATGATTCAGTCTGAATTGTTTAAGCTTACAATATATGATACAATGATCGGAAGTTAAAGGAACTCGTAATCATAAAAACCTATACACAATGAATTGTATAAGCTTGATTCCGTTCCCAGAAGTGAACTCTCGATCTAGTGCCTTATAAGAAAACATAGTCCTGACCCAGTAGAGTTTGAACCCATTACCCCTTGGTTGAAAAAGCAGTCATCTTAACCATTAGGCCACTTCAACATTTTTATTTAATGAAAAGATTTTAAATTAAATTTTTACAGCCTTAATTATGTCTTGTACATTTCATGCTCAGGAAAGCATACATTGTAGTTATGGCCATTACAGCATGACAATTGGGTTGGATGAACAAGGGGCTAATCTATATCAATTTCCCACCCCCTCCCCATACTGGGAGCATATAAACAGTATTACGTGCCATTACCTGAGTGACACATTGACAGATGGTTTCTCTTCTGCTGCTAGTTCTGTGTTTGGTATAAACTTGAGAGGTTTACTGCCCGACATTCCACCTGCGATACATACAGAACATTTATATATCATTTTATTACAGAACAAGAACTGTCGGAGGACAGTAACGCTCGATTTTTCAAAAAGTTGTCACAAGGGTGTTTCATTGAGTATAATAATGCTTATCTATATGAAAACATAAAATTGTCTGAAAAGGTACAAAGGCTTGTTACCGTTATTTAGATATTTTATCGAGTAAATCACTGCTTTATTATTATGAATGCATAAAATTGTCCCAAAAAACAGTAAACAGGCAAATGGTTTGAAGTAAAGGACCTTAACCAAGAAATTCCTTAAATTGAAAAATGAGCTTTTCCAAATTCAATCCTAAGCAAGTCCATTAAACACATATTCAGTAGGGTTTAAAAAGTAAAAAATACAAACAAACAAGAAAACACCCAACCATTACTCATCCAGTCTTGGGCTTTCTCAGAGACCTGAATGGTTGAACCAAACATTCCCTGTCCACAAGCTTTCTCCTCTATATATCCTTCATCTATCAAACATTTACCAAATGCTTTCCACCAACTGATTTTCTTGTATCTGTATGAAAATATAAAAAAAGCATCTTTCTTTTTTTTTTTCAAAATTCTGTACCTTGGGCATATATATTGTTACAGCCTTTTTAATTGGTAAGGTCTTAAAACAGACTAATGACAATACATTTCTATTCCAACTGGAGATTATTTGATTTTTGCATGGATTAAATTAAACATGTGACAAATTAAATGTTTGAATGGTATCTTTCCATGATAGTAACATCTCACAACTTAATATACCAAAATCAATAGGGTTACACAAGAGATTTACTATACTCCTACATATCAGGGCATTTTTTTTCTGTAACAGGGTTCATTGTTTGGCCCCTTCACAATTCAAAATTGCATTTTTTCCACAAAGCAGCAGAAAAAAATTCACAATTTCAAGAGATTTCACAAAATATTGGGACTCCGTCTTTGAAATTCTTTGTTTCCTTCCAGCAAAACTTGATTTTTGCCAATCGCTAACACGTAAATAGTTTAAATTGAGTTAAATGGTTTTTGCACATGTTTACAGGGTAAAAGTACCACCTTAACAGATTTTACACAGGTCAGAAATTATAATTAAGCTTTTTCGGTTTCAAAATGTTTCGATATTGCAAATATGTCATTTTCCCACAATTTTACAAAATATCGCAAATTTTTTCCACAAAAAAAAAACAGGCCCAGACCCCTACACAATTTTGACAAAAAAATGCCCTGTATATATAGCATTGTAATGGGGTTACAAAATCATGTTTAGTAAGATCAGTTATAAAAACAAGAGGGCCATGATGGCCCTGAGGTCGCTCACCTGTATATAGGCCCCCAAACTTTGTAGACACTCACTAAAAGATGTTTCATGCTTAATATCTTAACTCTAGCTATTTGGGTTTTTTCAAAGAAGTTTTTTTATGTTTTTGCTATACACATATAAGGAAAATCAATGACCCCCGGGGCGGTGCCAATTTTGACCCCCAGGGCTTTTATTTGAACAAACTTGGTAGACACCTATTAGAACATGTTTGATGCTAAATATCTTAGCCATAGCTCTTTGAGTTCTTTAAAAGAAGATTTTTTAAGTTTTTACTATATGCATATAGGGAAAATCAATGACCCCCCGGGGCGGGGCCAATTTTGACCCCAGGGCTTTTATTTGAACAAACTTGGTAGACACTTATTAGAACATGTTTCATCCTAAATATCTTAGCTCTAACTCTTTTGGTTCTTTAAAAGAAGATTTTTTAAGTTTTTACTATATGCATATAGGGAAAATCAATGACCCCCTGGGGCGGGGGCCAATTTTGACCCCAGGGCTTTTATTTGAACAAACTTGGTAGACACCTATTAGAACATGTTTGATGCTCAATATCTTAGCCATAGCTCTTTGAGTTCCTTAAAAGAAGATTTTTTAAGTTTTTACTAAATGCATATAGGGAAAATCAATGACCCCCGGGGCGGGGCCAATTTTGACCCCAGGGCTTTTATTTGAACAAACTTGGTAGACACCCATTAGAACATGTTTCATGCTAAATATCTTAGCTCTAGCTCTTTGGGTTCTTTAAAAGAAGATTTTTTAAGTTTTTACTATATGCATATAGGGAAAATCAATGACCCCCCGGGGCGGGGCCAATTTTGACCCCAGGGCTTTTATTTGAACAAACTTGGTAGACACTCAATAGAAGATGTTTCATGCCAAATATCTAAGCTCTAGCTCTTATGGTTTTTTAAAAGAAGATATTTAAAGTTTTTTCTTTCGGTTGCCATGGCAACCAGAGTTCTGCATGGAATTAAATTCTTTGAACAATTTTTAAAGGTGACCACCAAAGGAACATTCCTGTGAAGTTTGGATGAAATTGGCTTAGTGGTTTATGAGGAGATGTCATTTAAAGTAAAAGTTTACGGACGGACGACGGACGGACGGACGGACGCCGGACGAAAAGCGATCACAAAAGCTCACCCTGTCACTTTGTGACAGGTGAGCTAAAAACTGTAAAAAAAACTTACTTCCCCAGGCCATACACTTTACTGCTGGAGAACTTTTTAATCTTTTGACTGCTAGAGCCTGTCAGTATAAGCACTGTATTGTTCAAACCAAATCCTCCATTTATAGCCTGTCATAAACATTTATCTGCTTTATTGAGACATATTTATCATTATAAACAAAACAAGAATATCAGTTACCCTGGTGGACACTCCCTAAAGTTACTTTTGACGATGCTTACAAAAGCACCAATGAGGTCCAAAAGCCTAAAATCATAAATTTGAAACTCTTACTTACATAAACTGACACATTACATCAGAGATATATATGCAAATGAAAAGAAAACAAGCAAATTCGTTGAATTTATATCCCCCGCCGAGTACTGGTTATTATTAACACAACAACTGAAGACATAAGGCTTTATTTATATATTAATCATGGCATAAACAGTAATATTCTTTGAACTTGATAAATATTCAGGGAAATAACAGAGCCATAACTTTGTGCTAAATAGTAAAATCTTGAAATGCCAATGAGATGTATGCATACTACATAACTAATCAAGGGCCATAAATCTGAGTTATAAGTATCTGACTGGAACAAGGTGACTATATGCACATCTCCTCTTAGTATCCCATAAAGTTTCATTGAATTCCAGCCGGTGGTAGCAGAGAAGTAGCGAGGAAACAAATATTTTTCTATATGGATACTGCATAACTAATCAAGGGCCATAACTCTGAGTTAAAGTGTCTGACCGGAACAAGCCGATGATATGTGCATCTCCTCTTGGTATTGAAGGTTCCCATAAAGTTTTGTTGAATTCCAGCCAGTAGTTGCAGAGAAGTAGTGCGGAAACGATTTTTACTCTATATGCATACTACATAACTAATCAAGGGCCATAACTCTGAGTTAAAGGGTCTGACCGGAACAAGCCGACGATATGCGCATCTCCTCTTGATATTGATGATTCCCATAAAGTTTCGTTGAATTCCAGCCAGTAGTTGCAGAGAACTACTCCGGAAATGATTTTTACTCCATATGCATATTGCATAACTAATCAAGGGCCATAACTCTGAGTTAAAGTGTCTGACCCGAACAAGCCGACGACATGCGCATCTCCTCTTGGTATTGAAGGTTCCCATAAAGTTTCGTTGAATTCCAGCCAGTAGTTGCAGAGAAGTAGCGCGGAAACGATTTTTACTCCATATGCATACTGCATAACTTATCAAGGGCCATAACTCTGAGTTAAAGTGTCTGACCGGAACAAGCCGATGATATGCGCATCTCCTCTTGGTATTGATGATTCCCATAAAGTTTCGTTGAATTCCAGCCAGTAGTTGCAGAGAAATAGGGCGGAAACGATTTTTACTCTATATGCATACTACATAACTAATCAAGGGCAATAACTCTGAGTTAAAGTGTCTGACATGAACAAGCTGACGATATGCGCATCTCCTCTTGATATTGATGATTCCCATAAAGTTTCGTTGAATTCCAGCCAGTAGTTGCAGAGAACTACCCTGGAAACGAAATTCGGACGGATGGACGGCCGGACAAACGGACGGTCAGATGCGCATCTCCTCTTGATATTGATGATTCCCATAAAGTTTCGTTGAATTCCAGCCAGTAGTTGCAGAGAACTACTCCGGAAACGAAATTCGGACGGACGGACGGACGGACAACGCCAAAACTATATCCCCCTCCCGATTCCATCGGCGGGGGATAATAATTTACTAGAAATCAAATTGAAAATCAATTGTTTGTGCAATTCTTTACTAGGTATTAAATTAAAAGTTTTGACAACTTTCAAACTTTACTGGTGGTGAAATACCTCAGGTGCCCTTACATACATTATTTCAGATAGAAGCACCTTAGCAGCACCTCCAAGCTTCCTTGACAGCTTCCTCATGTGAAAGAATCCAAAGCCCCTGACAGAATTTCAACCCGCAGCTATAAGGGCCAAGTGGTTTGAAATTAGCCACCTAAACCACTCAGCAATGAAAAATCCCTAAATCTCCCCAAAAATGAGTCAAAATTTAATTTAAAAGCATGAAAATTCCATTTCTTAAATTCAGTGTGCTAAGTGTATTCACCTCTACCACAGTGAAGAAATCTTTAGCTTGTTTTCTGTAATCCGTAGGTTCTGTTCTTGATGCCATACTAGATACAACAGATGACCAGTTCTTGTTGTCATAGTAACTCTTCTGTCTACCTATATCCACTCTGTAAGTATACATTCAAATTGCTATGTACAAAAATTTTGAGTACTATATTGAAAGCAGCATGCCTCAAAATAAGCAAAAAATTCTTCAAGAAAAAAAAAATGTATGTTGCTATAAATAGAAATTACATGAAGACATTTTCTAAAGTTTTTGTTCCTCCATGTTTGGTCATTAATCAGGTTTGATCTATGTTATTAGTTTTGGAGTCAAAATTTCTGTTTTTCTTGCTGAACCTTTTGAACTGTATTATTATTTTAGTTTACTTAAGATTTAAGTCACACCAACATTGTATAAAGATCACACCACTGCATTCCATATCTATTGATGGCAGGAGACATGATGTGTCTCTATGTGTATTAATTCGGGCACTTGGTATAACCACTTATCTTCCGTAAGCTAGGTGGACAGATATCAAATGCTAACCATCTAACAAAGGATGGCATCTTAAATTAAAGTTCCTTTTTAGGGTGCAAAACCTTTCTTCAGTTTGATTTCAATAAAGTCCTTTGATTTTTGATATGTTTCCCAGTTTGATTGATTCTTAACAATTTCATTTTAACATTTAATTGATCCATAAAATTTGAATCTCCTCCATACAAATCAACTTGGGCTCTTTAAATGGTAAGAAATGCAAAAGATAATATAAAAAATTTAATTGAAAACCATATTTATGTATAAATCTTAGCCTGATTCTGCTTTTTAAGTCAATGATCTGAAATTTTGCACACAAGTTATTGGTCCAAACCTACATCAAATGGTTCAAATATCTTAAAAATATATTTTCAATCCCATCATATAAAATAACTGCAGTTTAAACCATTACTTACATTCTTCTACAATTATCACAGCAATTTATAGTTCCACCAACATGCTCTAGGTTCTTGCTGTCAAAATGGGACAACAATATCCTGGTAACAAAAATAAAACAGTTGAATATTAGTCCTTAATTACTTACGTACAATTTTCTATATACAATGTACTTCAAGTTCTTTGCTGTTATTTTTAAACTGTCTACATAGAAGGTTATGCTTTTGTGACTGAGAGTTTCATACATAAAAAATGTTTATCCTTAAAATTGAAGAAAATATATATGCTCAGAGTAGGTTATTTGAAATTTCAAATAGCCTAGAATAATGAAAAATTATAGAAACTGAAATTTCAACACACTGTCATGAACGGTAAAATATGAACCAAAAAACTATGATAGACAATTCATATAATTTCAAGTTCTAAATTGAGAACATTTTTACAAAATAATTACAAAATCCATCAAATAATGTCAAAGGTATTAATTAACAGTATAAAAAAATTCTCCTTTTATAGTTTTTGATCTATTTGTGTGACACTGAGCCTATCCACCGACGGGAATGGAAACACCAGTCTGGTTTGCAACAGCTTTTTGGACAAACTGACATACAAACAGATAAGGCAATTTTTATATCATAAAATATTTAAATAAAATAGTATCAAACATTCACAAAAACAATATGGGACAGCAAGTCTGTGATCACCATTCTATATTACCTTCGTCTACATGTAGCCGCACCTAAATACTGCTGCATCTTCGATAACATGTTCAACTTATGTTGCTTGAATTTCACATTTGAAATATCTTTTAACAGGTACCTGTAATATCAAATAAATAAAATTTATAGACAGTCTGAAACAATTTAGCAACATAAATCTTAAATGAAAAAAAAAAAATCAATAAAATACTTCCTCAAAATGTGTAAACCATTCTAATCCTTATACAGAAAATGTGTACACCATTCTATTCCTTATACAGAAAATGTGTACACCATTCCATTCCTTATACAGAAAATGTGTAAATCATTCTATTCCCTATACAGAAAATGTGTTAACCATTCTATTTCTTATAAAGAAAATGTGTAAACCATTCTATTCCTTATACAGAAGTCTGCCTATCATTATAATCATAATCGGTGCAAGATCATAAGTTGTCACAGCCATTTTTATTCTATGAAAGCAACCCTGCTTAATCCAAAAGTGAACTGGAAAGCAATTTTAATAACCATTTTACTTACATTACTCCTATACAAACTTAGATAAAAGACTCAAACTAAAAAAATGCCAAAAAATGTTGATGAAATAGTTATGTGTATACTTATCATTTTCGTCCACTAAAAATACCTCATTGCAGTGAAAAATACTTTGCCTTGAGAAATAATTTTAAAGGACTTACCTTGTGGTATTAAAGTCACTATTCATATAGAATGTGTGACAAAAACTAGGAAGACCATCCCTGCCTGCTCTACCTACTTCTTGGTAGTAAGACTCTATGTCTTTGGGAGCTGTAAAAAGAATATATAATACAATACATGTATGGGTTATATAATGAACTTAATCTTTCAGTCTCTACCAATAAATTCATTGTTTACGAAAATTTCAAAATAAGTACTGTCTAATTAGCACACAGTACAGACCATGGTCAGACAGCACAGTCTATACTGTTTCCATGGGAATAATCTGTTGCTGCCAGCAGGCTGAAGGATTATGAAAAAAGAATACAAGAGTTGCTGACATTAAAACCATTTTTTATAATAAAACACATTATTCTGAACATTTCTTCCAATTTACAATCAACCAAAAGCTCTTTGTTAATTTCCAAATTGATCAAAAACTCTGCTATATGGGAACAAAACTCACACGGCAAAGATTTATGACATTAGCAAGCACTTGTCATTGTTACACTTACAATGTATCCATAAGTATAAATATTTCCACCAACTTACCTCCATAATGAATAACCTTCCTGCAGTCTGGTTTATCTATGCCCATACCAAAGGCAACCGTTGCCACAACAACCTGTATATCATCATTCACAAATCTTTTGTGGGCCTCTTTCCTAGCTTTGGGTGTCAATCCAGCATGGTAGGGTAGACATGCAACTCCGATACCTGGATATAAGATCATTAAATTTGAGCCACGCCATGACAAAACCAACATAGAGCGTTTGCGACCAGCATGGATCCAGACCAGCCTGCGCTTCTGCGCGGTCTGATCAGGATCCATGCTGTTCGCCTTTTATAGTTTCCAAAAAAGTTATCCACTTGCCAATAATCTGAACAATCATTTGCTTCTGTAACTTTTTGGCAATTAGCACAGTTACAGTGACATAGTATTTTATACTATTTAAAGACAAGTAATTTCACATTCAATGCTTATTTCTTCTGCTGATAGGAATGCTCTGAAACCGTTGTATGAAACTTAACCAAGAATTTGTCTTATCCCCAAAATCCAAAATAAAATTATTGGGCCTAGGACTGTGACCTTCTATTTTGATCTCAAGTAAGTGTGTGATGCAATATGATTTTGTAAAAGAAGTTGCACACAAAACTTAAATCAAATTGTTCAGCCTAGGCACATTACGCCAATGCACCGGGTGAGTAGAATAGCTTACTCTTCTTCATATACTGGAGCTAAAAAGTAACAGAACTTACCTTTTACAACACTAGCAACAGTTTCAGTCATTTTCTTTGTTGGACAATATATAATGGTAGGACCACAGAATGTGTATTTATTTCCTTTAACTTCCATCTCTTGTTTAATATCATGAGCTACATCACCACTCTTCATACTCACTGACAGAAACAAGTTTGGTCTGAAATGGAGATAGTATATTTGTATCACAAAAATACAGATATGTAATAAGACAAATGCACCTTTCTCAAATGTGTCAACAGATTAAGGTATAGCTTGAAACTGATATATATTACTGCTTGATGAAAATTATTAGTTTGTTGAAAATAAATATAAATATAGATAAAATGTAAATGCACCTCATCTAAAATCTGTTTGTAAGTAACAGTTGTGATACATTTTTATGAATTTAGAAAATTTAAGCTCTTTTAGGTATATAAGTCATTTTGTTGTGTTTCACTAAAGGCAAGCAGATATACAGACAGACAAGCTGGACAAAACAATAAACCCCCAATCTAGCTATTGGTGTGGGTGTATAAAAATCTTTATAAGAACGATCAAATCAACTCTTCATCTAAAATTTGTGCTGCTGATAAAATTCTACTGCTGTATGCATGAGACTTCAGTTAAAACGGTTATGCACAGCCGTGCATATATTTTGACATGACATCTTTTGTGTTGTGCAAAGTGTAAAGATGCACATAATGGTCGCCTTACACTATACATGTAGGAGCGTCATTGAAAAAAAAATCTCTTTCACTTTCAACACTCTTTATTTTGGGTATGTGATAAATAGAATATTACATTTGCGTAAGTTAAATACTGAATTTATTGAACACATTGAATAATTATATAAAGGATATTTGTTTAGTTCAGTGTAAGATCGAAATATATTTCACTGAGTGAGCACCAAAAGGTATATTTCACGAGTGGCGCAGCCACGAGTGAAATATGAACTTTTGGTGTTCACAAGGTAAAATATATTTCAATCTTACACTAAAGTAAACAAATTTTCTTTTTATTACATGCAAAGAAACGTTTTAAAAATACATTAAACCTAATGAAAAGCGCGCCAAATAATAATATAACGTGTCGTCATTTACGACGTCACATCATTAAGTTGGTACCCAGTACTGTGCACGCTGGTATTTCACTGAAACAACGTAAGGGGCTTAAATTCAAAACAGTGCAATTATCAAAGTGGTAATTTCACTGTTTCAAACAGTGAAATTACCAGTTTTATATCACTGATATATTTCTATAAACCACCGAAAATCATGTAATAAATTATGTTGCCAGAGGCTTGCATAATATAACTTTATACAACTTGTTCAATAAATTCAATATTGAACTTACACTCATTCAATACTCTCTATAAACAGTTCATAAAGAGGTTGTCTTTGTCATAATGTAGAATCTTACCTGTCAAATCCAGTACAGGTTATAACTGGATTTTTAAGACGTAGACTTTTACAAATATCAATACGAACTTCAGGGGTGGCAGTAGCTGTTAGTGCCATTATTGGAACCTAAATAAGAAAGCTGATATCAGGTATGCTTTTTAATCAATTTTTGTTAAACAACATTTTATCAGTATCATAGAAAATTAAATTTCATATCCTTAGGGTTGGCTTTAGAGAGCAGGATTGCAGAAATCCTGCAAGGTTTGAAGCAAATTTCTAAAATTTGATCACAGAGGTGCCGCAATTTATCCTTTACCATTTACGAAACTCTTCCTGGTGTAAATGCTCTTTTAGCCTAACATGCTGTTTATCCTTTTTCTAATGACATGATACTTAATTTAATGTATACAACATATACTGGATTCAGTAAGAAAACGAAGAACAATTTTCAGTTGATAATATACCTATAAAATTTACATCTTTCAAATTGAGACTTTGTGATACTGAGAATAACAGGCAGCCTATATTTTCAAGTCATAAAATGCCTTTCTAATTTTAGATTTTTGTTTGTTTTGATTGGGTTTTACGACACATCAACACAGTATAGGTCATTTGGCAACATTCCAGCTTTACTGGTGGAGGAAGACCTCAGGTGCCCCTCCATGCATTATTTCAGGCACTAATGGGCACCTGAGTAGAACCACCAATGTTCCGTAAGCTAGCTGGATAGCTTCCTCACATGAAAGAATCCAAGTCCCTGTCGGGATTCGCACACACAGCAGTGAGGGACAAGTGGTTTGAAGTCAACTACCTTAACCACTCGGCCACAGACGCCCCTTATCTAATTTTACAACTCTTTGCACAAGAGAATGTGACTGTCATTCTTATTTTCAATCTCAAATTCTTTGTAATCTCTAAATAGCTAAATAGATCATCTATTCAACATCTTTGTCATCTGCAGCAACATGTCATGACAGAAGACCTAAAAATATTTCATTTACTTATCCAATAACTAACCTTTTGAATTCAAATGAAACTAATTGTTTCAGATATAATGATTATAGAACTGTTTGCACAAGAAAACAAGACTGAATTTTATTTTAAGTTTCAAACTCCTTGTAGTCTCTAAACATATCCCCTATCTAATAGTTTGTCAAACAAGCATATAAGCGTGCAGGTTATCTCTCTTGGAAAATCTTTGTCAAATTTGCACCAACATGTCAAGGCTAAAGACCTAAATATATTTCATTTACTTCTATCCAATTACTAACCTCTTGATTTCTAATTCAAATGTAACTGTTTTAGAAATACATGTTGAAATTGGTAATTAACATAATCAAAATTCTTGCATATTTAAATGTAACTGATTGTTTTAGGTATACATGTAAGATATTGGACTTACATTTGGAAAAAATGAGCGGAGCTGTCCAAGTTTTCTGTATGAATCTCTGAAATCATGACCCCACTGTGACACACAATGTGCTTCATCTATAGCAATCAGATCTATTCCAACTTTAGTGTTCAGACTTCCTAGTAAATCTGTAGCTACGGCTGCGAACTCTGGGGTTATATACACAACACGGTATTCTCCTCTGTAAATTCATTCACAGAACCAAAAATTTAATATTATTCAGGATTTATCCTACATGATTTAAAAACTTCCCGACTCCGGATTCATGCCAAATTCATAAAAATTTTGAAAATGTGTTTAAAAGTATAATTTTGTGAAATAACCAAAAGGAAGCAATTTACACATTATCAATGGCACTTACCACTCACGTAAATTACTAAAAAGAGGACAAATATGCAAATAGCCCTTACTGCACTAGTAACACATTAGAAATATAGTTATTACTGAAAAATCAGTCATTAATCGCATATAACATGTAAATAATTATGAATATTTTTTAATTTTTCTAGAAACCTTGGTACATTTTTCTCAAGTTTGAATTTATTGAAATAATTTCGCTCATCTAGAGGCATCTTAACAGAGCATTGTTAAATCGATTAGAATCAGGCATTTCTGTATCTATTTAGTTTATTTCATTCTTCATTTTATGAAATGTTAAAATAATAGTATTATATCAGCTAGTTAAGAAATGGTTTAAAAATCTGTGTGAAGGATGAACTTTTTTGGTCACCATACTATTCACTGAAAGATGCAGGGTAGTGTAATGCATAATAGATAACAGTTTTTTATGTCAAAGCATTAGAGGGTCAGTTAGCTTCATATGATACCATTTTTGTAATGTCTAACTTGTTTTTATACAAAAACTATAATATGTGATGAAGAAATATTACATTAAAATATGACATAAAATATCATATAAATAAAATAAATATGAAGTATTATATTATATTAAAATATTTAATAATTTTTTGTTTTGGGTAAAAATTGAATAAGTCACTTCAAACTGTTTTCATTTGCATTTTGCACTCTTGAAATATTTAAGCATTCCCAATTCATGATGTGATATAAATGTATATCATATTCACTAAAAACAAACATGTAGCTTATACTAATGTTTACCTGTACATATTTTCCTTAACCATAGCTGTATTTTCTTGTGCAGATCCGAGATAACATGCAGGAATATTAGCTGCCCTGAAAACATAATAACAATGAACATTAAAACCTAAACTGTGATAGCTTATGTACCAACATAAGAACATATTTAGTATTATACTAGTTTTAAATATATCATGACTCTTTTTATTGCAACTTTTGCTAAAGAGCAATTTAAAGGCACATTATGCATCAGAAGCGATTATTTTTGCCTTCTGTAAGAAGAGCAAAAGTGTTAGTGATGTTGCAACAATGGATTAAGAACATGATTGTGAGACGCTTATCACCTGAAGAAAATAGCTCTAAATTTGTAATGAAGGTAGCAAAATATAAACAAAGTAGTATGTAGACTTCTGAAGTAGATCACTCTAACTTTGCTCAGCTATATGATTAATGAAAACATTTGGAAATTATACTAGGACAATAAAAATTATAAAGTTTTTGATAAATTAAAGTAGTAGCATTTTTAGGCTTCATGGGCCTTTAAATATTACTATAGAGTTTTTCTTGACATATATGAGTGTCAATTATCTTTATAACAAGGCTTAAAGTGTCAACAACACAGAAAAACTTCAAAAGTGATGTTTAACTCTCAGATATATAGACTGATGAAAGATATTTCTGGAAAATGTAGTAAAGTAATCAATCTGCATAATTTAAAAAAAAATGTGATATTAACTTAACAAGCACTTCTTTCACGAAAGATTAAAAGTGATTTTGCATAATCTACATGAATTTTTTCAACAAAAAGTCACAAATCAAAGGGAGACAACTCACTGTAATCCCAACACCTGGTCCTGCATAAGAGATATTAGAGGGGAGATAACTACAGTTGTTCCCTGTGTCATCAAAGATGGAAACTGGTAGCATAAACTTTTCCCATAACCTACAAACATAGAAAGGTATTATAAAACATGAGCAAGGCACCCATTTATGTCATTAAACTTTAAGATATTGAAAAGTAAAAATAACACTGCACAGTAAATTGGAAAATCTTGATAGCATATTCATACACAAACTATAATTGGAGTGGACTTCTTTTTTCTATAGTTTAAACTGAAGATAACTAGAGATTTCCTATATCTGTGCCAAGAATTTATTAAAACGAAATTTATTGGAGGCAATTACCATTAGGAGCCCAAATTTTATGATTTTTGAAGCCAAAATTCAACCCGTTCCCATCCCCTGTGAGTACAGGTATTTATTTTACCCCTTCTTTTACAAATACACTGTTTAGGTCATAGACCCTTTCCGTCTTCACTAGAGCAGAATACCTTTAATGCACCATGCATTATTTCAGACCAAAGTATTTTACCTAAGTAGAACTACCAATCCTTAATAAGCTGGGTATCATGAAAGAATCCAAATTTCTTTTCAGGATTCAAACCCAGTAATGTGGGTGGTGTTTCAAATTCAACCACCTTAAACACCCAGCCAAAGAGGCCTTATAATTGAGTTTTAAATCAAATGAACACTGTTAGGATCTATATATAGCTTTCCAGCCTTTCCTAAAGGACCAAGACACTAGTCTGACTCCATGCATAACTTCAGACTCACTTGGGCACCAACAATGATCAAAGTTGAAATATCTATAAGTTTACTGACCAGCTTCAAAACCTTTAACGTTAGATCAAAACTAATATCAATGATGAGCAATAAATCAGGTTTAAAAAAGAAAATACTTATAACAATTTATGTACTATAAAATATAGATAGAGTTACCTGTTGCCATAATAACACAGTTATCTCTCTTCTCTATCATCACAGAATGTAAAATCTTCCATTGCATTCTACAAAACATTTATAATTCTATAATAGCAATTTTCTATTATATTACAGTATATTTCATTTGATGAAAACAGAGTGAGTCTCTTCTCTTTCCACAGTTTTCATAACAAAGTCATAAAAGTTCCCTCAAAGTAGTGTCATTCACTATAATATTCACTATTATATTTCCATGGATACTTCCTTCTCATATAATGCAAACAACTGGATGTCAGGTTTTTTTTATCATAATTTTATGTTGTGAGTAAAGAGCAAAAAAATTCTCTGGTAAAATAAATCCTGCTCTCATACAGTCTATTGGTTTAAGCCATTATTTCCATGAGGAAATAACTTTACATTCATTACTCACAGTACTGGTTGGTTCCAGGAACAGATTTGAGGGTAAGTCTATAACTTCAATAAGCTATATCTATAAGCTTATAGCTTACAAGAATCACACCATAATTAAAATAAATTCTGTACTAACTTATCAACTCAGTCTTTCATTCAATTTAATGAAATATTATTTACAGACTAAACTGTTCATTGTATAACTAATATACTACTTACGGCCTGAATTTTGAATATCCAAAGTACTGTTTTAGAACTTGAAAATATTTCTGATCTTGAGGCTGATTTTCGTCATCTGTTATAAATAAATGTGAATGATTTCAATTGACACAATTTCTTATGAGCAAAATATACGACAAAACTTCTTATGGAATAATCAATGTCGAATTTAAAATGCAAACAAATCTTGCAATGTTTTTAATGATTAGTGAATTAAAGTATGCAAAAATCTTCAATGATTTTGAAATTGGAATTCTGAATGTTTAACAATTTTAATGTGATTATAAACATATACAATCTTGCTTTCTTATATTCAGATTTTAGAAAGTATTTGCATAGTATTTTAGTGTCAGAAAAAAAAATATATATGTGCACAATACTCTAGTTTTTGAAAGTATTTGCATAATACTCTAAAGTTGAAGTTTTGGAAAGTATACATGAAGTATAATTTCAGACGGTAATTGAATATAATTCATCTTTTGGAAAAGTATTTGCATAATACTTAGGTGTCAGAAAGTATTTGCATCATTCTTTTAGTTTCAGGGTGAATTTGCATAATGCTCTAGTTTCAGGAAGTAGTTGTATAATACTTTAGTTTCAGAAAAGTATTTGCATAATACAGTAGAGTATAATACTCTTAGTTTTGGAAAGTAGTTGCATGCTACACAGAAGCAAATGTAATCATAGCAATTTTGTATAGTAACAAACCATCATTATTCTCTACTATCTCCACATCAGGTGGGGTAGTGTCACAATTCTCTGTGTAACTTTTCTCTGCTGCGTCCAACTCCTAGAAATGAAAACAACAAAGAATAAACACTGTTCTTATGACTTTGAAAGGAAAAAATCACGTTTTAATGAAATTTTTCAAAAATAATTGTAGAACACTCTTATTGTAAGTCACATTAAATACCTTTAAATTTTTATCATGATTTCTTGCAAAAGATAGACCTTCTAAACACTTCTTTAAATGAAAAAATTGACGCTCTTAGCAGCATGGGGTAAATGATCACAAAAAATAAGGGTTTTTTTGGGGGTCTGTTTTAAATCAAGCAAACACTGTAATGACCATAAGGCCACATTCCAGCTTTACTGGTGCAGGATTACCTCAGATACTCCGCCATGCTTTATTTCAGGTATGAGCAGGCATCTGAGCAGAACCATAGACATTCAGTAAGGTAGCTGGAAAGTTACCTCACATGAAAGAATTCAAAGTCCTTGGCAAGATTGGAACACACAAAATGAGTTGCAAATAGTTTGATGTCAATGACCTAAACCACTATCCCTAGAATGCCCCCTACAGAAAAAAAGAAAAGAAAATATTAACTTACCTGGAGAGCATCATCATCAAAATCATCATCATCGCCAAAATCATCATCATCAAATAAATCTTTATCTTCGTCAACTGTGGTCTCCTCCTTAGGTTTCTGTTCCTTGTTTTCATTGTTAGTTTGCTGTAAACAAGAATACAAAAGAATAACTATTCAAGTCTCAAAGCTGATTAACACAACACTGTACATAGCAATAAGTGTATAGTTTTATAAAAGACTTGTCATATAATTGTTATAACTATGTTCTTTGCTTCCACAAATAATATGAATAATAAATTTTAAACCCAAAATTTAAAAGTCTTATTGCAAAATTTTCATACTAATATCAAAATGAGACCAAAGCCATTTTTTGCTAAATGTTGGATTAATTTTGTTATTTGTTATGTTAATTATTTGTTGTAAATTTCCAACAGTTTTTAAAACCTTCCCTAGGATATAAGATATATGCAATTACTTGAATGCAACTTTAATATTAAAAAGACTTATTTTAGACTTCAAGATTCCACAATGAACTAAGGCAAAACAATCTAATAATAATTATCCTAACCTTTTTTCTGTCATTGGCTGCGTTGGGTTTCATTTCTTCTGATTTACCAGGAGTTGACTTTACAACATCATCAAGGTCAAAGTTATCAAAATTCTCTAGGTCATCAGTATTATCAGAGTCCCAATCTATCTCTGTTTCAGAAACCTTTTTCATATTATTGTTTGTATTTACTTCATTCATTGTCAAATCTATTGAATCCTTACTATTCAGATCATTTTTTTCATTCACTGAACTTTGACCTTCCTCTTCATCAAGGTCAACAGTGACATCAGAGTCATCTTCATTGTCATTGGTCAATTTTTTGCTTAAACCTGCAGTTATTTTCAAACTGGCCAATGGGGATCCTCCTATTATGACATCACTGTCAGAATCAGTTTCACCAATATCTTGGATTTTCTTTAGCCTTACTTTTAGTCTCTTTAAATGATTTCTTGATATTTTAATATCCTCTATTTCATCTGATGTTCTTTCATTCTGAAGTTGAAACAAAAACTTTCATAGAAATTTCACGAAACATACAAAACATTTTTTTAAATGGTGTCTCTGGAAAATGCTTAATAGAGCTAACTTTTGTTTTATCTTATTTTTGACAATATATGATGTCTGCGAGGCAATTCAACCTCATCAAACATTACTCAACTTTCCAAACTTTACTCCAATCATGAAGACGAGTAACAATCAAATCAAAATGTAAAGCAACTGTCCTACTAGAAAATTAAATATTCAACAAACACTCCATACATATGAAAATGCTATAGCTTTGATAATTATGAACAAAAGATACTTAAATACAAATCTTTGCATAAAAAAATTCAGGTGCAAGTATATATTAATAGAGAAGAAACCATGCATTAATGGATAAAATAACATGAGCATGCACTAATGTTGCTTGTTTATTAATATGATTCAGAATGACTCTTGGTGACAGGTAAAAATACCTAAAAGCAATAATGGTCCCACACACTCCCAGTTATTTCATTATCAAAATATAACTGTCAAATTAATCACGCTTGTGCATTTCTTTATACAAAAACAAAATAATACGAGGAATAAATGACGAAATGCAGAATTACCTAATCAAAACTGTAAAATGGCATCTTGCACATTTCTTTTAACCATAAACAAATAACAAAACACAAAATTACTGAATCAAATCAATACTTTATGCCAGACTAACACTAATGTAACTTAAGTGCCTTTTTTCATACATAAACATCTGCAGAAGTCATGAAACTTGACAAGTTAATAAAATCCCCTGCTAGATGTTCTCAGGCTTTTAATGTATATTCTGCTTCTGCTGATGTAAATGCATAAAGAAGTTACATTAACCCTCTATTAACACTTACTTGATGTTTAGCCATCAACTTTTCAGTTCTTTGATGAAGTTGAACATCAAGAATCTTCTCTTGTATCTGATGAACTTGTTCTACAGCTTTCACAATACCATCTTCCCCTAGCTGGTCATATATAGCTACCCTATCATCCTTCGATAATGCACCACAAGTTCCCCTCAAACTGTCCACACTTTCCTTCAACAGTGCAACTATCTGCTCAATATTTTTAGCCATATTGTTGAAAATATCTTTTAAGATCTAACTCCTCATTCTACATGTTTTTTTGGTGAGGGAAATAAATTCTGAAAAATAGAAATGGAAAATATTGTGAGAATAAAAAGGTAATTTACATCGATAAATTTTCACAACATCAAGCTAAATCCATTTAAATACAAAAGGAGAGTTAAAACCTTGTGCCAGTTGCTTATATTTCTATGGACAAAAAAAAAAACATTTGAGCCGCGTCACGACAAAACCAACATAGTGGGTTTGCGGCCAGCATCTACTATTAGTTAGAGTTATGTTAGTCCAACTAATTGTACTGCGCGACGAGATATTGCTATTTTCCTGTCTGGGCAATATCTCGCCTCTAAGAAGCGAGTTTCTGACCCAGAATGAAAATATCTCAGAATCTAGTTTTGACACGTCAATATATTTTGACTAGAGTAACGTAAAATGATAAAATATTGATTTTTTTGCTTCAACTGAATTAAATAAAACGTTTTCTCAGATGTATGCTCAACAAATCACTGAAAAAACAAAATAAAAGGTAAACTCCTGTCAGGTGCATGATTTTTATTTGTTTGGGTCGTCAGACCAAACAAATAATGGTAGAGAAATTTCAGACTGTAATGCTGTTAACTGCAAATGCCGAAGGTGTCCACTTTTTGGAAGCGGCTACTTCCCTTTATATGTACACTAACGCCGAAAAATTCAGGGGAGATCACTGCGTAAAGATGGTCAAATGACAGGCGCATTAATTTTCAAGCAAAATAATTCCCGAATGGTCGAAGATTTCTAATATTGTTTTATTCTTTATAGATATATAACCGCCTCCGTGGTCGAGGGGTTAGAGTCGATGACTTCTAATCCAGTTACCTCTCTGGCGTGGGTTCGATCCCCGGGAGATGCTTTGGTAGTTTAGCGCGGAGGAAGGTAGTCTAGTACTGGTGTAACTCTCCAGGAACGATGGTTAGGAAACTACCCGCCTATATGACTGAAATACTGTTGGAAAAAGGCGTAAAATGAAACAAACAAACATTATAGATATATATGCTTATAGAAAGCGTCATGATTATTTACACAAGTGTTAAACAACAGTTAGCGTCGTTACAAACCCTAATTTAGAATAATATGGTTTTCTTCATGCCGTTAACATATAAATTCACCGTGGCCGAGGGGTTTGCGCGCTCCCTTAGGAAGCGAGAAGTCTGAAGTTCAAATCCCAGATAAGGCAAATCATTTTTTTTTTCCAAATTGTTTAAGTCAAATAAACATTGGATTGAATATCAGTGTTGCAATTAGTCTTTTAGCCAATTAACTACAAGTAAAACGCTGGAAAGCATTGGTGGCACTATACAAAAACAAATTGGTTTATAATCTCACAACCTTCACCTTTCTGACATTCGGGTCAGCGCCTTCTGTGCTTTGATTTTTTTTATGCGGGCAACATTCACAAAGTAAAAGTTGAAAATTTTGTAACTCGGTATGATCAAAGGACTGTCAGCACTTTATCTTTATTAAACAAGTAAAAAACTGTTCAAGATTTCTTATAAGTTGAAAACAATAAGCTTTTTTGGATTAAAAATAAGGACATTGGTATTGTTTAACATTTTATATAAATGAAAATAATTTTTTACCGCAATTTAGATGGCTTAATTACTAGCGATCAACACAGAACATGTTCAAAAAACAGTACCAGGTTAGGTAACACGGTACTAAATTTTCCATTCATTGAATTTAACACCTAAATTTGCATGAACACAACTGAATTTTTTTAAGTTTTTAAAATTTGAAGTTTAACTTTGTCTTAGAATAAAGTAAAAGTGTATGTTTGAATTAATGTTGATAGGACAATTCAGATACATGTTTGTCATTCTGTATTTTTTATGTGCCAAATCATGGAGCTAAATATAGATCTATCGATTGTAGATACATTGTATATATGGTATATACATCTGTGCCAAAATGCATTTCATATATATGCACATTTTCCCTCGTTATTGTCAGAGACTTATATTTACAGAATTCAGATAGGCCTACAGTATAGATCTGTGTTATTGTTCTTTGCATAAAATAGATAGTTGTATGCTATCCTAATTGCACGATTATTCAAGGAAGTTTGAAATTTAATTCTGTAATCAATTATTTCAAGACACTCTGTAACATCAAGGCTGAAATTAAAGCAAACATGTGTAAATATATGTGAATGAAAATAATTTACATTTACAGCATTTACTGAAAACAAAATCTTTATAGATTTTCTGTCGTTGCTATATAATATATAAAGTTTTAGAACACTCAATACCATTTGAGATTAAAGTTATTATAAAATGAGGTAACACTTTCAAGAACATGTGGATTGCCAAATTTGGTCACTGAATTCAGGTACGTATATATACAGGTACGTATATTAACCTGTTCATATACGTACCTGCTGAATTCAAGTTTAATATATTTCAATATTTGTGATGTAAATTGCCAAGAAAACCTGTTTAAAACGGTCCAATCAAAACAATAACGAGATAAGGGTAGAAATAATCAAATTTTGGTTGGAATCTATTATTTTTAAAATTATGAAACCAGTTCTTGCGAAACAAACACGTCATTAGAAATATCAATTACGTTTCTTATATTATATATCTAAAGCCAACCTAATTTGCTTTGCTGTATAGAAAGCTATATTTTTTTATAGTCTTAAGAAGTATTTGAGAGAAGGGGGAAAGGAGAGCAATAGGAGCAGAGAAAGAGAGAACTATGAAATTGATTTAAGAACTAAGGAGAGAATGATTAAATCAGAAAAAGGAAATAAATGATATTTGGGAATGGTCAATAACATCTGAACATTATTTATTTTAATGATTTGAAATATGTGTTTGCAATTGGAATAGCACAGTTGAGAATCTACATCTACTTAAAGATCCTGTATGTTGTTACCACACTTAAGTTAAATTTTATATATGTATATAATTATGCCTCTAAAACAATATTCAAACATCAAAGAATATGTGAAATATGTACTGAAAATATTTATCTACATTATATGTAATCATTAAAATAAATGCATTCATTTCTTATTGGAAACATTGACTTAGACTTTATAAAAAATAAATTTCTAATTATCTCTCTTTATTAACATGAAATGTAAATTCGTTAATATCTTTACAAGTAATGCTTTTTGGAACTTACAATATTGGTAAGTCTTCATTTGAGCATTATATTCGTGATATAAAAATTGAGTTACACATATATGGGGTTATTTCTTTCTAATTTATTAGTAGACCAACTTAGGGTCTCTTTTGCTAGCCTAATTTAATTAATACTATGCATACTCTGGATTTGTTTCTTCAATTACCAAGGGTAATGTATTTGATATTCTCTTACTCTTAGTATACTTCAACACATTATGTTTAACAATTCTGGAGATATGTTATAGAGAATTTTGTACATGTATGTTTCTGGGGTAATTGTCCTTTACCTCCTTGCTCTAAAGCATTCAGACGAGATTTCTCAAGTAATTGATCATAGCTACAATCAAAATCGTCATAAATGAATTCTGAAGCTCTTTCCTGAATTTTATATATATTTTTCAAGTGTTTGACGCATTTGTAAAATGTCAGAGGACAGTAGTTAAAATTTCACACAAAGAGAATGATCAGAAATATAATGAAATTTATTTCTTGATAACAGGCAGCAGTCTGTTGTGCTGAATTGGCAGTTAATTGCTCAAAGCCCATCCCAGTATCCTCAGGTGTCCCCCCAAAGGCTCTGTTCTAGGACCCCTCCTGTTTCTCGCCTATATAAATGACCTCCCACATAACATAAATTCCCAGGTCCGCTTGTTTCCAGACGGTACTGCAATATACATTGCTCTGACGTCTGCAAACCAATCAGTCACCCTCCAAAATGACCTAAATCGGTTAGAAAAGTGGGAGTTGGAGTGGGATATGGAATTTAACCCCTCCAAGTGTCAAGTTATCCACGTCGCAAAAAGGAAACATCCTATTCCATCAAATACTACCTTCATGGAGTCCAATTAGAATCGGTAACCTCAGCTAAATACCTAGGCGTGGATATATCAGAAAACCTCACGTGGGATGCCCATATAGACAGGACATCCAATAAAGCAAACCAAACCCTAGGATTCTTTCGCAGAAACATAAAGGTTAAATCCCAATCCATTAAGTCCATCGCTTACCAGACGTTAGTCAGACCCCAGCTTGAATATGGTTCTGAAGTATGGTCTTCCAACAGCAAAACACGAATAGATCAAATTGAAAGTGTTCAAAGAAAAGCAGCCCAATGGATAAAGCTAGACTATAGTCAGACCTCTAGCGTCACGGATATGCTTCACTCCTTTAACCATCGAAAACTGGAACTCAGATGTATATATGCTAGGTTATCCCTTTTCTCTAAGATTCACCATGGTCTGGTTGCTATCCCTATAGAAGAATATTTGAGACCCCTGTCCCAAATATTACGTCAAGGTCATCTCTTATGTTATAGGTTATTCACAGCAACTTCGGCCTATTATAAATTCTCATTCTTTCCTAGGACAGTATACCACCGCAGTTCAGTGCAGCCATAGCTTGCATCGAGCATGTTTCACCCTAGTTTTCCAGCCCCTGTTTTTTAACATTTTTAAATATTCTTTTATCCTCTTTTAAACAACTCTTTTTTACTTTCTTGCGACTTTTGACGTGCAGACATGTCTACGTCCCCGCGACGGGTTTGACGTTTTATTTAACGGAAGATAGATAGATAATTCTTGCATAGCAGACTAACGTTTCCGTGAGTTTTACCCATGCCGGAAATTTCATCTGGCATGGGGGGTTCCAGATGAGTCGCGTGCCAAACAACAACGTCATTTTACCGCACTTTATGAATGAACCGCGTTAAAATGACGTCATTTTAGAAGGGAAATATGTGCTTATGATGACGTCATTTCACTGTTGTTATTTAAGTTGTAAGTTCATACGCTATTGTAAGAAAATAGTAATGGATGAAATGACTTTAATTTTCATGAACATATATCGCATTGAGGTAAACCATTTTAAATATGAAATAATATGGCAGAATATGCAAGAAAAAATATCTGACATATGTTTGCGGTTCGGATCGGAATATCCGTCCCTCGGGAACCCGCCCATGGGCGGTAACTCGGCAAGCCTCGTTACCGCCCAATGGGCGGGTCCCCTCGGGACGGATATTCCGGTCCGAACCGCAACATATGACAGATATTATTAATGTAACATCAGTTGTTCGTAGATTGTTTTCTAAAAAAATCTTTAGACATTACAGGTAAAACACCGAAGGTATACATGTTTATTTGCTCTTGTCTAGAATGACCTACCATTTCACTTGTATTGGATTCCCTCCAATGTAAATTTTTTATTCGATTAACAGAGATAAGGTCCTATTTAAAGTGTTTCAAGTATAAAACAAGCATACTTGTAGAGTTACGTTCCCTTGAAGCAATTCGCCATTTGTAAGGAAGAAAAGATTTCATATTGGAAAACCATGTGACATTTTATAGGTAATATTATTTGAATGTAAGGTTTTGAAAAATATTCTTCAAGTCTTAGCAGTCACTTCATACGATACACTGTTTTGAAGCAAAGAGGGCGTAAAAAATTTCCACGTGCTTTGGGACTCTCAAGTTTTTCTGCTTTCGGAGACCTACGGCCCCTACTGTATTTTAAAAATCCTGGTGAAAACCCTGATATTATGATAGGTCAAAGCCGACAGTGTCGGAAATTTTTATAAATGTGTGAAGTTGATGTTCCCTTACCAATAGACTTTAGAACCTGTTTATCAGCTATTTTAACATTTTACCAAGAAGTGGCTAGCTGTACAGTGGTAGCAAGACACTTCACCCTCCAGACACTTCACCCCTCAAATTTTGAAGACACTTCACCTCTCAAGACACTTCACCTCCCAAAATCAGTAAGACACTTCACCCCTCATCCATTTTTTTTCTATAAAGTAAATAAGCCAACAACATAATGCTTTTATATGTTTATTTTAATTATTTTTAGTATTTTTTTGATAAAATCATAAATAAGTTTTTAATTAAAGTATTTTGATTATTTTTAGTATTATTTGATTAATAAGTTTTTAATTAAAGGACAATTTACAGACTTTTTTTTAAGAGTAAATATTTGTTTTAACATGTTTAAGTAAATAATTCAGAAACAAATAAAACATGTAATAATTGTAAACTCATTTACGTATAACATGCAAAATAACAGAACATTTTACTGGTTCAAAAAACATATTTTTATAAACGTCCATAAATTCCCCCACTTTCTCTAAGAATTCCTTGATCAGTCCTTAATTCATGATGATTGTATTGCCCAATGTTATACAAAGCACTTTTATCCATTTACTGTTTATTGCATGTCACCTTGTTTATTCAATTAACATGTTGATTGGTTGTTTATTCAACAGATATCTCATAATTGATTGGATTAAAAAGGTATTATTGTATGAAAATTAAATAAATAAATTTATAAATAATATTGTATGTAAAATAAATAGATAAATAATATTGTATGAAAAATAGATAAATAAAATGAGGGTTCACAAACTTCAATAGAAAGAATATTCAGTTAGTTATATCACTTTCCTTTTAAATGAAATGAGTTTAAAATATATAAAAATAAAATAAAAAGAATTAACTTACTAATATTAACTTTGTGATATGAGCCTTTTTGTAGGACAAAAACAACAATATACATGTATATACATTGTCTTTGGTCAATAACATGATGAAATAATAATAAAATTTGTTAAAACATTTAACATACTCAATCACTATTGAATATATTTAACATTTTCAACATAAATAATTGTTTAACACAAAATAAAAAAATGGGGGGTGAAGTGTCTCAATCAAATTTCTTAAAATGAGGGGTGAACTGTCTGAGGGGTGAAGTGTCTGCAAAAAAGGGCCTAGGGTGAAGTGTCTGGGGGGGTGAAGTGTCTGTAAACCTGTACAGTATGGGCTGTACTGCCAGCCAATAGTTCGGAAAAGAGTCAACTCGGCCCTATACCAACTTGGCACGGGTCAACTCGGCCCACTTTACAAAAATATATATAACGTATTTACTTTGCTTTGCATGTTGTTAAGGTAAATGAATAGTATGATAGCATTGATTTCTAACCTGTTCGATTTAAGGGCGAATTACCCTAATAAGAAATATTATTTAGAAAAAAAAAATGTTATTTATTTGTCTTGCAGATTCGATAAAATTAATATAGATATATTAAAAATGTGTTAAGTTAGATATATGCATTTTGTTTGTAAAGTAATTTTCAAAAAAATAATGAAACAAAAACGTGTTTAATTAATAGCATAAGCTTCTAATTAATTGCAGGTGGTCACTAATCAAATTTTAATGAATGAGTTAATCATAATTATCACCTGATTAATCGGTATCCTTAACATACACATTGATTGATAATAATAGCCCGTGACAATAGGAGTCCTTTGATGTCTTATATCCACTTTTAAAAGTGGGCCGAGTTGACACGTGCCGAGTTGGAATAGAGCCGAGCTGACTCGGGGGCCCGAGTATGTTTTAGGGCCGAACTGACCCGGATTTAATAGTTCTAGCTGTACGTAAGTAACTTATGTATAGCCTAAAGGCTAAACACACTGTTTAGGATAGCCGTACAGCATTTTTGTGTCGCCTTGTCAGCGTCCCCTGAAGCTTGTCCGGAGCCATAAGTCACAGGGATTTTTTTTGCTCATTTAATAGCTGTTATTGGGTCATTTTCCCAATAGAAAATAGTATATTATTTTCCCAATCCACAGGAAAAAATTCCCATTTGAAAGTTACTGAATAATATATTGAATAAAAAATTCAAACATCTTTTGCAAATAAAGGCTTCTTCACTGTAATAGTGCTTAAATGTTTGAAGATGCCATCATTGACAGTAGTTGTTTGCATCCATTTAATCACTGCAAAATTTCAGTCATGCATTTTTTCTCAATTTTTAACAAAACACCGCTGAAATTCCCAATTCCATGGGTATGGGTCGTATTCCCAAAATCTTGGAAAAAATCCCTGAGTAAGTCATTATAAGTCAGATTGACTTCAAACTTGGTATGCATGCTTCTTATAATGACCTGAAGTGCAGTGCACAAGAAACGGTACTCTGCATTTCTTTTTTTTTTTAGTTATTGCCCTTTGTTAATTTTCATACTTAATTTTTGTCCAGCCTATTTCTCCTAAAGTATAAAAGCTATGGACTTGAAACTTCATAGGATGATAGATCTCATTAAGAAGAAGTGCAGTGCACAAGAACCGGTACTCTGCACTTTTTATTTTTGAGTTATTACCCTTTATTAATTTTCTTACTTTATTTTTGTCCAGGCTATTTCTCCTAAAGTATAAAAGCTATGGACTTGAAACTTCATAGCAGGGCTCGAGCTAGTGGGCGATTCGGGCGAAATAGTCGCCGAATTCCGTCTGACTTCGCCGACATCCTACATGAAAGCGAAGATGAAGTCGCCCGATTTTATTGATCCATTATTGAAAATTACCAACGATAACAATAACTGTGAATAACATGTTGTGTGTGTTTGCTTTGTTTACCCTCGCCGCCGGAAAAATTGACTGTTATGCATCTTAATCAACGCGAAATGTCATTAATCTGTTTGTTTACCAACATGTCATAAAAGTCTAATTAACAGACGCTCGAGGAACAATTAGACTCTGCCCACGGCGAGATTACCGATACGTGCGAGAAACAAATCGTAATTTACGTTTTAATCGAGGCGACATTATTTAACCAATCATTAAATCGCTAACATACAACTACCCATAACAATTATTTATGATGGACGGATCAAACGTCAATTAAATTTTCACTATCGAATGATTGTCAGAATAAAGAGGACCGCTCGACATATAACTGTAACGGTAATTTTAAATGAAAGTTATGATAACCTTTTTTGTCGACGAGTTAAATTTGATAAAATTAACGGCGTATTACACTGTATTTATTACAAATGAAGTTAAATTAAAGATCGTTTCTTTCGTTATCTACTTTCATTTTCTTTACAACATAAGTGAATATGAATATAATGTCCGGCGCAAGCTTTTTAATAGTAAATCAGAAGGGAATAACTGTTAATCCACCCATGATATGATCCATGATAGGAATCAACTATGGCTTTTTTATCTTCATTAAATGCAATGGTTGCATTACATGATACTCATTCTTATTACTTGTTTCAAACTTCTTTTAAACAGAGACATAGATAACAATAGTTATAATAATAGCTATCTATGTCTCTGTTTTAAATTAAAATTGAATATTCTGTTGTAACACAAATCCAATTCATTTAATAAGATATGTACAGTGAGTCAACATCATTGCGATAACATACAAGAAACATTGATAAATGAATCTCCTCACTTCTCCCTAAAGTCTCCCCACTTCTCCCTAAATCAGCTGGAGGGAGAAGTGACTTCTCCCTAAATTTTCAACCTAGCTTGAGCCCTGCATAGGATGATAGATCTCATTAAGAAGAAGTGCAGTGCACAAGAACCGGTACTCTGCACTTTTTATTTTTGAGTTATTACACTTTATTAATTTTCTTACTTTATTTTTGTCCAGGCCATTTCTCATAAATTATAAAAGCTATGAACTTGAAACTTCATAGGGTGATAGATCTTATTGATAAGAAGTGCAGTACACAAGAACTGTTGCTCTCCACTTTATATTTTTTGAGTTATTGCCCTTTGTTAATTTTCATATTTCATTTTTGTCCAGTCCATTTCTCCTATACTATATTGTTCACAAGGCGACACATCCGACTCGCGGAGTTCTAGTTATGATAGCAAAGCATTTTTAAAAGATAAATTTGATTAAACCCCAAAAAATGTTATAATACCAAATGAAAACTTATTCATATACAGGATCAGAAATGCTTAAAAAAAATTTAAAAACGTAATTGAATAAGTTCAAGAGTAGCAACCCCACACCAATTTTTTTATTTTATTGTATTTATAAACAATTTATTTCATCTTATGGTGCTCATTATAAGCATTTCAGAACAGTTTTCCTTTTCTAAATATCTTTAAAAATAAAAAAGTTATGGCATTTAATAATGTTGAAATTTGCGCATTTTTTAAGAATTTTTACTATATACAGTCAATGAGAAATGCTTGCGCGTTGACGGAACCGAAACGACTTCGTTTATGACAAATTTCACATTTAAAATACCATAACTTTTTTATTATTTGAGATATTTTGATGAAATTTGGAATATAGGTAGATTAGGTGTTACTGAATATAACTGGATTATTTTACAGACCATTTAATGTAGAAGAGCAATTACTGAGTCTAATACAGTGGGCAAGGCATCGATAAATTTTTTGAAAAAATTTATTCATTTTTCATTTATCAACATATATGAAGTAACAAGAAACTACAGAAGTACTGTATAATGAAATCCAACATGAATGAATATCAAATTGCTCTACAGCATCTGCAATGTCATGCTTTTATCTTTTTTTTTCTCAAAAAATAATTATTCACTTCTTTTGCAGTTATTAAATAACTATTCTTCCAGAACTCCCGCAGTCTCGAATTATCGCAGTATATTCTAAATTGAACATAAGTCAAACAGCCCGAAATTCCTCACTAGACCAAAAGAAATGAAATTGATTTGATTTGCTATTAATTGAGATCAAAATTAAGAATGTTTTCTATTGCTAACATAAATTGATGCACCTGGATATCAGTTGTCTTTGTCAAGAGCTCTATAATATCAATATGATTTATTTTGCCGATAAATGTCAGTCGGTAGGACATAATTGTTTAAATTAATGTTATTTTTAAGGATCTGCTTCTCCCATTTTCCAGATTTGTTTTAAAAGCAGTCTTCTTCATCTTTAACCATTTTCTTTGAAATTAGTTGACTTCATTTCATCAGATTTCAATGAATAAGCATACATCTCGGCAATTAAACATACTTCGACATTACAATTTTGGGGCAGTTCTTGCAATGATTGGTAATGTATAAGTACTGTTATCATCATATATTTTGCAGATAAATGCCAGTTGGTATTATATACTTTTTAAATGCTATTGAAGTATCTGCTTCTCCCCTTTTCCAGATTTTTTTTAAAGGAGTTTCATCTTTAACCATTTTCTTTGAAATTAGCCGACTCCATTTCTAATTTTCTTATCATAGCTGATTCGGGATTTCAATGAATATAAAGCAGACATCTCAGCATCCGCATTAACAATTTTGGGACAGTTCTTGTTGTGTTTGGTAATCTGTATACTACTATATGACAAGATTTATTCATTAACAGCATTGGTTTGTCATCTTATATTTGTCCAAATGATCCAAGTGTTGTCAAATATTGTCATCATCAATATTATTTCATGATATTTTTTTGTCAGGTCAGTCATGCACCTGGAAAAAAATAAAGTATAAAGTTAGTAATTATAATAAATCAGATATGAATTAAAAAGAAATGCTGGCAAAATAAGTTTAAATACATTGTTTAAAAATATTATTTATCCTTTGTATATGAGCGTAGAGGTAAACAGATTTTTTTCAGTCAAAACTGTCACTGACAGCAGGTCGACCCTGCATTCACCATGTAAATTGCTCATTAGAAATAAATTTCTGCTTTAAATAATTATAAAACCATAAAAAATTAATTAAATATTTAATAAAAAAATGATTTCCTTATTAAATATACGATATCTCATTGAAACCTGAAGCATCGGTAAAAAAAAAAAACTTTTTAGAATTTGAAAAGGTAGCAAGACACCTCACCCCCCAGACACTTCACCCCTCAAATTTTGAAGACACTTCACCCCTTAAGACACTTCACCCCCCAAAATCAGTAAGACACTTCACCCCTCATCCATTTTTTTCTATAAAGTAAATAAAACAAGTTGGTCAACAACAAAATGCTTATATATGTTTATATTTATTATTTTTAGTATAATTTGATTAAAAATTTTGCTTATTACCTTTATTTTTACTAAGTTTAAAGCTGATTTACCGTAGGTTAATTGGTTGTATTGCCAAATGTATATCACAGCACTTTCATCCATTAAGTGTTTATTGCATGTCACCTTGTTTATTCAACATGTTGATTAGTTGTTTATTCAACGGTTATCTCACAATTGATTAGATAATTGAATTAAAATGGCGGTAAATTCAAAATGGCGGACTCTGATGGACTGTTGAATTTCCACAACTCGCTGTATTTAATCGTAGATGCGGGTGCTTTAATGGCAACATAATTTTATGATTTATGAATCATTTAAAAGATAATTCAATTTTTTTTCTAGAACACTATTCGTTTTTCTTCACTTACCGATAGTTTTCAAGCAAATCGTCGGCGAGTATCGGGCGTCATAACTTTTTTGTTTGTAAACATATTTAAATGACGAAAATTCCGGGATGAAATGTAAACATTTTTCTGATTGGTTGCAAAAAATCATGAATATTAATTAGCAACAAATGACCCGCAAATAAGGTCATGCGGCATACATGTGACAAGCGCGTGTCCACAATCGGGTTTTGTAAAATCGGCCGAAAGTACACCTGTATATTAAGATTAACTGATAATGATTAAAATGCATATTATGCATGAATAATGAATTTTATATCATTTTGAAGACAATTTATCGCTGATTTATTTCATATAACTTTTATTATGGTCAATATTAAAATTTATTGTTTTACAATCAATTTTATGAACACACTATCGATTTTTACGCTAATTTCTTAAGCTGTAGGCTTATCAGTTGGGGTTGCTATCAAGAGTCTAGTATTATAAAATAATTTTTTCTTTGTAAGTATTTGTAGTAATAATTAAGGCAAAGAAGAAATAGAGTTTAATTTCTGGTCTCTCTGTCAGACCACTTGTTATAACTGTCTTCCCTAGTAGACTGTTTTTGCCTTCCTGGATTTTCAAAATCTTTGAAATATCAAATATGATACTAATACCAGGGCTCTCGCAAATGGGAGATTTGGGCGACTTGGTCACCTTAAGTTTCTGAACTTCGCTGAGCTTGAACATCAAAGTGAAATCGAGCTGCCACCCTTTTTATTTACGGCATGTACAGATCTTTATACATATCACACGTAATTTACTTATCATATTTTGTTTAATGTTTCTTTCTTGTTTTAGAAATAAGAGCAAGGCATTGGCAAGAAATGGATGTAAAAAGGAAACAGACATGATGGATGTCAGTGGTATCAAACAGTATAGTGAGAATACAAAAACAGATAGAAGTATTGGATCAGCTGTTAGTATGAGTGGGAAAACCGAAGCAGAAATTGTGAAGGCTGATCATAAATCAGATGATAGACTTTCAGATAATGAGGTGGGATATGCATTAGATAAATACGATATCTCTTTCTCTATAAAATCAGAAGATGATCCTGAGATGGATATTGAAAGAAACATTTTAGAAGATGATGACATTGTTCCAAAAGAGAATGATTTTATTAAACTGGAAGCTGATATTTATCAAACCAGTGATAACAGTTTTGGTATAGCTGAAACTGAGGACAGTTTCTTTACTTTGGATTGTTCTGATAAGATTGGCAAAGAGTATGAGGGTAGTTTTAATAGTAGCAGAAATAGTGGGGATATCTCAAATGAAATTGGCGAGAAAGCGGAGAGTAGTTTTGATTATGGAGATGACACCGATAGTTATGATGAAGATTACTTTGGGAATAAAGTAAATATTATTATCAAAAAGGAGGTGAAGGATGACCTTGAAGATGAGATCAAACCTAAAGTCATAGACTATGGGCGTAAAACGAAGAAGGCCAAGGAGCATGTATGTGAAATATGTAATAAGGCCTTTACGTCAGATAATCGTGTAAAGCGTCACAAGGAGCAGCTGCATGTTGACGGAAGTAACGAGAATACAGCAATCAGAGAGGGAAAATATATTTGCAAGGTAATTGGTGGTTTATTTATTAAGATTTTTCTTTGCTCACTCTTTTATTATAAATGTATATAAAACTTATTTCTGTACTGTCATCCTGAATTATATAATGTACAGTTATTTCTTTGATTTGAAATTTGACTTCTCAATCTGTAAATGTTTACATGACATTGTATAATGATAATTATATATGTATATGCTTATTTACACATATAAAGTATTGATTAAATCATCATTTTATGTCTTTTTTCATTCCTGTTTTCAGTTCTGTAATAAAAGATTTATATCTCAGTCACGACTTAATCTTCATATAGTGACACATACAGGTAAGTTAACACTCTAGTAAATATCAGTATATCTCAGTGATCAGTTTTAATTTTAATTAATTTTCAGGAATGATAAATAATTCTTTTGACTGACTTCAATGTTGTTGTCCAAAGGACATTATGTAAAGCTGTTCAACACTTGTTTCAAATGACAAATATGATTGCAAGCTTGACAAACTTAAAAAAAAGATGGCATCCGTGTGCTAAATTTTCTCTTATGAAGTACTAAAATATTTCAAAATAACTGTATAAAAAAAGCACACAATTTTAGTATTGCCATTATTTATGAATAGTGCCTAACTTTAAAGCAACAAAATAGTATGTAGATGTACAATATTCACCATAAAAATCACCCATTTATACAAATAATTGTTTTAAGACTGGCTCAGACGGGGCCAGTAATTGTGATACGTTTTGACAGTTTCTAGTATTTGCATGTCTTGGACACCAGAATAGATTGGAGGTGACCTTGCTGACAAATAGTACATCCCTTTTAACAGGAAATAGTTAAACTTTTGAAATACTACTGTATTATTGTATTTTCTGCCTGTTGAAAAATTCGCGCATTTAAAATTTTCCAGGCATTTCATATGAGGAAATATTAGCAAATCAACCAAGGGTAGAATTTAATGACAGGTTAGTTGATATTTATGCTAGAGGAAATTTTAGCGACTTTTGTCAATTCGCGAAATTCGCCAAAATTTCTGTGTGCCTTTATACAGTATTACATTGATAAAATCTTTTTCTTAATTTTTACAGGGGTAAAACCTTTCTCTTGTGATGTTTGTGGACAGAAATTTTCACATCCAACTAATAAACGCAGGCATATGAAGACACATACTGGGGATAAGCCATTTGTTTGTGTGTTTTGTGGGAAATCATTCCCTGTGAAACATTATCTAACGGACCATCTGGTTAAACATACTGGTGAAAAACCACATGAGTGTAAATTGTGCTCAATGACATTTGCTCATCGATTTTCTCTGAAGCAACATGAGCTGTTGAAACATCCCGGAGGTGAGTTGAATTTTCAAGATTCTTATAAAGATCGGCCTTTTACCTGTGACGTTTGCGGTAAGGGGTTCACCCAGCAGTCGAGCTTGAAAATCCATAATCGGCTTCATACTGGTTCGAAACCATATAAATGTAGTGAGTGTGATGCTAGCTTTATAAGGAGTGACACTCTGATGAGACACAAGTTAGAGCACTCGGGTCAGCGTCCCTATCAGTGTGACATGTGTGACAAAGCATTCACATCTGGATACGTCTTGAAACAGCATCGTAATGTGCATACTGGAGATCGTCGGCAGCAGTGCGAGCATTGTGGGATAGAGTTAGCCAATAAAGAATCTCTGACACGACATATGCTGCGACATACCGGTGAATCAATGTTAGAATGCGGAACATGCCATAGGAGATTCGTTCAGGAGCAAACTCTCAGAAAACATCAGGAACATCCTTGTGAAGAAAAGATATACGAGTGTAGAGACTGTGACTATAAAAATTGTAGTGAATCAAAACTGAAAAGACATATGTTAAAGCATAATGGGCAGAAGTTGCTGGAGTGTAAAATTTGTAAACATAAGTTCACCTATCCATCAAATCTTAAGCGGCATATGAAAGTACATGAAAAAGACCATGTAAGGACTCAAAGAAAAGAAACTTTAATCACTGATGATAGTGTTGAACATTTTATTGCAGTAAGTGTGCAAGACATAATAGACATCAAAAAGAATGTAGATACAAATCATACTAATAGAAAAGCTGGTAAAAGAACTAAAAAGGTTAAAACATGATTCGAAAATTTAAAGTTCAATTATATAGGAAGAATTTTAAATCTTGAAACGGACAAGACAAAGTTAATGAAGACACAAGTGCATAATGAATATGATGGACCTCAAGGTAAAGACAAGCTTGCTACTGACTTACTAACAAATGGTAATTTTTCTGAACAAATACCACAAGTTAGTCCATCCAGATTTGATAGAAATTTTGTTACTACTGTTTCTGTTCTTGTTAATTAAAGGGACTCCACTGAGTTTTTTTTTGTTGACATGTTTAGACTGGATTTTTTTTTTAAGATTGATGTTCCATTTGATGTTGGTCTAGACCAATACCTTGCAAAATTTCAGATTATTTGCTCACTTTTCGAGAATGATTATTTGAATTGTGAAAAAGGATCCAATATTGAAAAGCGTTGCAAACTCAAACGGGATTTAATAGAAAAAAAATATACAATTTTAAATATATTCTGAGTTTATTTCTTAAATATCTTTTGCGTATCTTTCTGTTTTAAGTGTCCAAGTTGATCTATGTTTAAATTTTATGTGTCAGGTCTTTGGCTCTCAGTGGAGTTCATTTAATATTCATATAAGGTTCCCATAATTAGTTCACTGTGCTTAAGGTGAGCTATTGTGATCACTCAATCTCCGGCAGCCATCATCCGTCTTAATTTGTTTTAACAATATCTCCATTTACAACGCTGTGCCAGTGTCAACAAACCTTTAAAAGAATGTTCCTTGCATAATCTTTAAAAGTTGGCATCCATAAAATACACTAAAAATCAAATCTTGTCAAAACTATTGGAATTATGTCAATAATCTTAAAGATATTAATATTTTCAGAAATGGTCATTGGTGACCATCTACCAAGTTTGATTTATACACGCTTTCAGTAACTGTTGATTGTTTAATCTGTCTCATTTGTGGGGCTGGGCATTCACATTTTACACACACAAATACGAAATATGCATTTGGATTTCAATTTATCATACCATCATATTCTGAGAAAAATGCAATGTTTTTATGTTTTACACACATGGATCAAAATTTTGTAAGTGTATGATTTTCAAATCATCACATTGTCATATAACCTGGGTTGTTTTTCTTAACATAAGGATTGTTTATCTTTTACAAAGTCTACCTGTTGTCAGCTGCTGTACAGCAGCCACCAAAACGTCCACCATTGCTTCCATTTTTATTTGGACCACTCGCTTGTGGCACATTCAGTGTGGAACATTGCACACCTCTCGTGCAAGCTGTTGCACTTTTGTAAAGAATCTGGAGCATGTGTACTTATTGCATCGTCAATGTTAGTGTTCATTCCACTTAAAGCAATCTAGAGATGTAATTTGTTATCCACTTTGTGCTTGTATGAAACCATTTCCAGTCTATCTAAGAAATTGTCGCTTATTTCTTCTGCAGATTGTGTTATAGGGATTAACAAGTTGATATCAATGCCACAATCAGTCTGAAACTTTTCCTTTAAATTTTTAATTAAGTCCTACACATTTGTTGGCTTTACTGTCAAGGACTTGTACAACAGTCGAAGGGCCAAACCACCCAGGCGCCTACGTAAATTCTCTAGTTGTTCGTCAAGAGTTTATTTTCTTAACAGTCTCTAAATCTTATTACATATGAGTCAGAATTTTCTGTGCCATTATATTGATCTAGGTGTATACTTGCCATATTCCAGAAAGTTTGGGGAATTACCTATCAGGTCCCTCAATCAAATTTGGGGGAAGCAGGTCGCTACCCTCAGCAGGGGGAATTTTAGTGTATAGGGGGAATTTTCCTCTTTTTTTACGATCAAATATCAAATAAACTTATTTAAATCTCAGCTGCTTTTAGCTCACCTGACCACGAAGTGGTCAAGGTGAGGTACAGTGATGGGGCTATGTCCGTCTTCGTGCGTCGTCAACAATTGGGTTGTTAACAGTTCAGCAGTCACGGTTTTGATTGGATCATCATCAAACTTTGTCAGAATGTTTGTCTCAATGAAATACAGATCGAGTTCCAAGATGGGTTATCTCGGGTCAAAAACTAGGTCACAGGAGCTAAAAATAGAAAAAGCTTATTAACACTCTAGAGGCTGCAGTTTTCATCCAAATATTCTGGAAATTTATCAGGAAGGTTGTTTTGATGATTACTAGGTCAAGTTGGAAGATGGGTCATCTCTGGTCAAAAACTAGGTCACAGGAGCTAAAAATAGAAAAAGCTTGTTATCACTCTAAAGGCTGCAGTTTTCATCCAAATATTCTAGAAAATTTGTCAGGAAGGTTGTTTAGATGATATCTAGGTCAAGTTCGAAGATGGGTCATCTTCTGGTCAAAAAACTAGGTAACAGGAGCTAAAAATAGAAAAAGCTTGTTAACACTCTAAACAATTGGGTTGTTAACAGTCTAGCAATCACAGTTTTGATTGGATCATCATCAAACTTTTGTCAGAATGTTTGTCTCAATGAAATACAGATTAAATTCCAAGATGGGTTATCTCGGGGTCAAAAAACTAGGTCACAGGAGCCTAAAAATAGAAAAAAACTTGTTAACACTCTACAGGCAGCAGTATTCATCCAAATATTCTTGAAATTTGTCAGGAAGGTTGTTTTAATGATATCTAGGTCAAGTTCGAAGATGGGTCATCCTCCGGTCAAAAACTAGGTCACAGGAGCTAAAAATAGAAAAAGCTTGTTAACACTCTAGTGCCTGCAGTTTTCATTCAAATATTCTGGAAATTTGTTTTCAGGAAAGTTGTTTTGATGATTACTAGGTTCAAGTTGGAAGTGGGTCATCTCTGAGTCAAAAACTAGGTCAAAGTAGCTAAAAATAGAAAAAGCTTGTTATCATCTAAAGGCTGCAGTTTTCATCCAAATAATTCTAGAAATTTGTCAGGAAGGTTGTTTAGATGATATTAGGTCAAGTTCGAAGATGGGTCATCTCTGGTCAAAAACTAGGTAACAGGAGCTAAAAATAGAAAAAGCCTTGTTAACACTCTAAACAATTGGTTTGTTAACAGTTCTAGCAATCAGCAGTTTTGAAATTGGATCATCATCAAACTTTGTCAGAATGTTTGTCTCAATGAAATACAGATTAATTCCAAGATGGGTTATCTCGGGGTCAAAACTAGGTCACAGGAGCTAAAAATAGAAAAAAAACTTGTTAACACTCTACAGGCAGCAGTATTCATCCAAATATTCTTGAAATTTGTCAGGAAGGTTGTTTTAATGATATCTAGGTCAAGTTTCGAAAGATGGGTCATCTCCGGTCAAAACTAGGTCACAGGAGCTAAAAAATAAGAAAAAGCTTGTTAACACTCTAGTGCCTGCAGTTTTCATTCAAATATTCTGGAAATTTGTCAGGAAAGTTGTTTTGATGATTTCTAGATCAAGTTCGAAAATGGTCATCTCCGGTCAAAAACTAGGTCAAAGTAGCTAAAAATAAAAAAACTTGTTAACACTCTAGTGGCTGCAGTTTTCATCCAAATATTTCTGGAAATTTGTCAGGAAGGCTGTTTTGATGATATCTAAATCAAGTTCGAGGATGGGTCATGTCCTGTCAAAAACTAGGTCATCAGGAGCTAAAATAGAGAAAAAGCTTTTTAAACATCGACAGTTTCATCCAAATATTTTGGAAATTTGTCAGGATGGTTGTTTTGATGATTTCTAGGTCAAGTTTCAAAGATGGTTATCTCCAGTCAAAAAAACTAGGTTTTCACAGGAGCTAAAAATAGGAAAAAAGCTTTAACACTGCTAGTGGCGGCAGGTTTTTAGCTCGACTTTTCTATGAAAAGGGGAGCTATCCTACTCGCCCCGGCGTCGGCGTCGGGTTGCGTTAGCGTTTGGCGTCACACCTTGGTTAAGTTTTTCGTACCACCCCACTTTATTTCAGAAGTATTACAAGTATGGCTTTGAAACTTACATACTTGTTCACCATCATAACCTCCATCTACAGACAAGAGTAATAACTCTGTCAAGGTTTTTGACAGAATTATGGCCCTTTTTTGAACTTAGAAAGTGTATTGAGCTTGGTTAAGTTTTTTGTACCACCTCACTTTATTTCAAAACCATTGGAGGTATTGCTTTGAAACTGACCATACTTGTTTACCATCACGACCTTCATCAACAGACAAGAGGACATAACTCTGTCAAGGTTTTGACAGAATTATGCCCTTTTTGACTTAGAAAATACATTGAATATGGGTAAAATCCACTTATTGCCTTAACCCTTTGAGATATTGCTTTGAAACTTTTAATGCTATTTCACATCATTACCCCCATCTGTACGCAAGAGAAGGTTAACTCTGTCAAGGATTTGTTTTAAAAATTAAGGCCTTTTATCGACTTAGAATCTTGTTAAGTTTTTTGTACCACCTCACTTTATTTCAAAACCATTGGAGGTATTGCTTTGAAACTGACCATACTTGTTTACCATCACGACCTTCATCAACAGACAAGAGGACATAACTCTGTCAAGGTTTTTGACAGAATTATGCCCCTTTTTGACTTAGAAAATACATTGAATATGGGTAAAATCCACTTATTGCCTTAACCCTTTGAGATATTGCTTTGAAACTTTTAATGCTATTTCACATCATTACCCCCATCTGTACGCAAGAGAAGGTAACTCTGTCAAGGATTTGTTTTAAAAATTAAGGCCTTTTATCGACTTAGAATCTTGGTTAAGTTTTAGTACCAGTCCACTTTTTGACTGAACTGTTTGAGATATTAATTTGAAAGTTGGAATACTTGTTTACAATCATGATTCCCAAACATGTCCAGGAGAAGGTAATTCTGTCAAAGATTTTATTTGAATTATGGCCCTTAACTGTCAATGTTTTGTATTATAGGCAAGCACTAAAAAAAAGTCGAGCGCCCGCTGTCTTACGGGACAGCTCTTGTTATTAAAAAATATTCTGGAAATTTGTAAGGAAGGTTGTTTTAATGATTTCTAGGTCAAGTTCTTAAGATGGGTAATGTCTGGTCAAAAACTAGGTCACAGGAGCTAAAAATTGAAAAAGCTTGTTAACACTCTAATGGTTGCAGTTTTAATCCAAACATTCTTGAAATTTTGTCAGAAAGGTTGTTTTGATGATTTCTAGGTCAAGTTTTAAGATGGGTCATCTCAGGTCAAAAAACTAGGTCACTGGAGCTAAAAATATAAAAAGCTTGTTAACACTCTAATGGCTGCAGTTTTCATCTAAATATTCTGGAAATTTGTCAAGAAGGTTGTTTGGATGATATCTAAGTCAAGTTGGAAGATGGGTCATCTCCGGTCAAAAACTAGGTCACAGGAGCTAAAAATAGAAACTTGTAACTAGCTTGTTAACACATTAGGGGCTGCAGTTTTCATCCAACTATTCTGGAAATTTGTCAGGAAGGTTGGTTTGATGATTTCTGGGTTGAGTTCGAAGATGGGTTATCTCCGGTCAAAAACTAGGTCACAGGAGCTAAAAATAGAAAAAGCTTGTTAACACTCTAGTGGCTGCAGTATTGATTCAGATATTCTTGAAATTTGTCAGGAAGGTTGTTTTGATGATTTCTGGATCAAGTTTGAAGACCGGTCATCTCAGGTCAAAAACTAGGTCACAGGAGCTAAAAATATAAAAGCTTGTTTACACTCTAGTGGCTGCAGTTTTGATTCAAATATTCTGGAAATTTGTCAAGAATGCTGTTTTGATGTTTACTGGGTCAATTGCTAAGATTGGTCATGTCCGGTAAAAAACTAGGTCACAGGAGCTAAAAAATAGAAAAATCTTTTTAACACTCTAGTGGCTGCAGTTTTGATCCAAATTCCTGGAAATTGGTCAGGAAGGTTGTTTTGATGATTTTTATGTCAAGTTTAAATATGGGTCGTGTCCGGTCAAAAATAAGGTCACATTGCCCAAATATGGAAAAATCTTTATAACACACTAGAGGTCACATGTTTGACTCAGTTGTAATTTAACTTGGTCATGATGCTTGTTTAGGACATTGCTTGGATGCGATTGTGTCAGGTGAGCGATCCAGGGCCATCATGGCCCTCTTGTTTATTTACACGCATATTTTTTTTTTTAAAAATCCCAAATAGGTTACACTAAACTGTTCAGAAGTGATTGATAAGATTTGAAGAAAAGTTTTTAACACCTTACACCATCAGATCTTTATGCTGCTTAGATTTCTTTATGATTCATTGCCACCACCCCCCACCCCTCACTGCCCCACCTCACAAAAAAATAAAATAAAATAAAAATAAGCATTGTGAAACACATTCAGAAAAATGTCTCCATTTCCACAAATATGAACAATACATGGACCTAAAGTAAATTCTATTCATAAACTACATTTTTAGTGTTCTAACACACCTTTTACTAAGACAAAGCTTCCTTTTCTTGACTTTGTAAAACATTCGTAAAAGTCGGCATCACGAAAAAATGTGACAAATGAAAATTTGTTTTCTGTTTACACATCCACATTCTAGTTGATTCTGATGTAAATTATATAAAATTAAATTGTTTGTTTATTATAAGATTGTTTTTCATCAGTTATTTAATAAAAGTATCATGAAAACAAAACTTACAAGTTTGTAATTTACGGCAAAATTTACCGTGGTTGATGTAACATTTTGAAGACAAAAAAATGATTTGAAAACAAATTGTTGATGGGAATTGTGACTTTTTTTTCTGCATATTTCTGTTGAAATTTTAGCATTTTTGACCAATATGTGACAGTAGATTTTGGAGGAAAAAAGAAACGGAAACGTGCAGACATGTACTGTACGATATTCCGGTCACAAAATAGCCGTCAAATAGAGATGGATTTTAATTTTCAAAAACAACATTAGTTTCCATTTTTCTTTAACACTTTGTCTGTTTTGAGTGGGAATTTTTACCTATGTTAGGGGGGAAAAAACATACTATTTAGGTGGGAGACTGTGGCTGATTATCGGCTGCAGATTTGGTTGATCGAGGGCCCAGTGTAACTAGTCATCTCTAAGGATGGCTACTAGCCACATGGGTTCAAACCCGGTCTGAGGAGCAAGCCTTTGTTTCTTTGAGCTCAGAAACATAACACTATAATTTCTCAGTACTGGTTGGTTCCAGGAACAGGTTTTCAGAGTGAGTTTATAAGCTGATAGATTGTTTCACAATCAAACTAAAATAAATTCTGTATTGACTAAAGGATACATTTCAAATTATTAAAATTATAAAGGGGCTTACTTAAATTACAAAAAAAAGTATATAATACCTACCTGGGGAGTCACAGTATGATTTACTGGTACACGTGTA